GGTGCTTGACATCGATGGCAATAATGGAATAGAATTACCTAAAACGTACACAGTAGGTGAAATACCCGTCACACTCTCACAGGTTCCTACACCAGAAATCGTTAGTAAATGGGAACACCTTCAAGATATAGCAAAGAAAATCCCGCAACTTATTCAAGGATGCGACATTGGGCTTCTCATCGGTAGTAATTGTCCCGTAGCTCTAGGGCCGTTAGAAGTAAAACCTAGTGAAGGAAATGGACCATTTGCTATGCGCTTGCCTCATGGTTGGACCGTGTGTGGGCCAGTTGCCGTAGAAGAATCTTTGTCAACAAACGAAGTCTCAGTAAATCGCATAACTGTTAGAGAAGTAGAAAGGTTCAAGGAAATATTCTCACCGCAAACAGTTCTTGAAATGTTCGAAAGAGACTTTAACGAGGATCCGATCAATCAAAACTCAGAAGAATATGGTTTGTCTCAAGACGACAGGAAGTTTATAGAAATTGTCAATGATGGTATAAGTAATGTAAACGGCCACTATCAGATCCCACTTCCTTTTCGTAAAGAGCATATTCTCTTCCCAGATAACCGACTTCAAGCTGTTAAACGCTGTGAATGGCAGAAGAAAAAGATGTCAAGCGATTCTCAGTATTATGAACATTATAAACGTTTTATTCAAGACAATATCGATAAGGGTTTTATCGAGAAAGTTCCTGAAAATGCCTCACCGGAACCAGGACATTCGTGGTATCTTCCTCATCATGGGGTCTACCACCCTCGTAAATTAGACAAGATATGAGTCGTGTTCGATTGTAGCGCGCAGTACCAAGGTATCTCTTTGAATAATCAGCTACTACAGGGCCCAAACCTGACAAACTCATTGATTGGTGTATTAACTCGATTTCGGGACGAACGTATCGCATTCATGGGAGACATCGAATCAATGTTCCATCAGGTAATGGTCCCACCTCGCCATCGAGACTTTCTACGACTTCTATGGTGGAAGGACGGCGACATTGATAACGACTTAGAGGAGTTCCGTATGTGTGTACATCTGTTTGGAGCTGCCTCATCCCCCAGCTGCTCAAACTTCGCATTAAAGAAGACTGCGGATGAATCAGAAGAAGAGTTTGGTAAAACTGTCGCAAATGTTATTCGTAATAACTTTTATGTAGACGATTGCCTCAAAAGTGTCAAGACTCCAGAAATCGCTAAAGACTTAATACGAAGGTTACAAGGTGCATGCCTTAAAGGCGGATTTAGGTTGACCAAGTTCATCTGTTCTGATAAAGAGGTTCTTGAATCTATTCCAGAGGACGAAAGGGCTAAGGAAGTTCGGGAGTTGGATTTGAATTTAGACCAACCAGTAGAACGAGCACTTGGCGTAAAATGGGTTGTTTCATCGGACACTTTTGGTTTCACAATCACCTTAAAGGACAGACCTTTAACTCACAGAGGTATCTTATCCATGGTATCGTCAATCTATGACCCACTCGGATTTGTTTCCCCGGTAACGTTAACAGCCAAACGAATATTACAGGATTTATGCCGCCTTGATCTTGATTGGGATGACGCTATACCAGTGGAGTATCAACGACAATGGTTAAACTGGAAAGATAATCTTCTGGCTTTAGAGAAGATAGAGATTCAACGATGTGTTAAACCGGTTGAATTTGGACCTATACTATCAAAGCAAGTTCATGTATTTTCGGATGCAAGTTCTACAGCGTATGGAGCGGTTGCTTATCTTCGACTCAAGGATAATAACGATCGAATACACTGTTCATTTTTACTAGGTAAAAGTAGACTCGCACCCATAAAGACAGTTACTATACCGAGACTCGAACTAACGGCCGCTACAGTATCAACACGCATTGGCCAACTGTTGTTAAATGAGTTGACTGATAAACCGGATTCTGTCTTTTATCACACAGACTCAACTACTGTCTTAAGATACATTCATAATGACCAACGACGATTCAAAATCTTTGTTGCGAACAGAGTTCAAACGATTCGTAACTGCTCAGAACCATCCCAATGGCTGTATATCGACACTAAAAGTAATCCAGCTGATGACGCCTCACGTGGTTTAACAAGCTGAACATTCCTACAGTCAAACAGATGGCTTAAAGGTCCCGAATTCTTATGGAAGCCAGAAGAGGAATGGATCAAACAACCAGTGTTACCTGGACTAATTCCCTCATCAGATCCTGAAGTAAAGGATGAAGTTTCTAATTGTGTAACGAACGTAACTTGTTCTGATAATAATCCTGTGAAGTTGTTTATTGAACACTATTCAGATTGGCACAGATTAAAACGTGCTGTTGTTATATTTTTACGGTTTAAATCAATTCTACTGCGTTTGAGTAAGGACAGAAAAGATCATAATCATTTAAATAGATCAGAAGAAGCCTTTATGACTGAACGGAGGAAATCCTCATTCAGATCCTTAAACTTACCCATAACTGTATTAGAAATGGAGAAAGCAGAAAGTAGTATTTTTAAGTACGTTCACGAACATCAATACGCTGAAGAACTTAAAGTTCTTAGATCAACAGACTTCAATCAGAATAATCGTCGCCAACAGTTTAAGTGCAAAAATTTGTTAACGAAGAATTTGTCAAATTTATGGAAGCTCGATCCAGTTATCGATAATGGTGTTCTCTGCGTTGGTGGACGGTTAGACAGAGCCGACGTCTCGGAATCCTTAAAGCACCCAGTAATCGTTCCCAGAAAGGGTCACTTAACAGAACTCATCATTCGCCATGCTCATCAACGACTTGCTCATGCAGGAAGAGGTCATGTTCTAGCATCGCTACGAGAAAAGTATTGGATAATAGGAGCCAACGCCGCAGTACGCCAGGTGATAACTAAATGTGTTCCCTGTCGACGCAACCGAGCTAAACCAAACATACAGAAAATGGCGGATTTGCCAGCCGAAAGAGTCAACCCCTCACCACCGTTTACCTACGTGGGATTAGATTATTTCGGACCGTTCTATATTAAGGATGGACTACGTGAACTTAAACGTTACGGAGCTATTTTCACTTGTCTAGCTAGCAGAAGTATTCACATCGAAGTTTCGAACTCTTTGGAAACGGATTCATTCATACAAGCTCTTCAACGTTTCATAGCCCGAAGAGGACCCGTTAGACAGATACGAAGTGATAATGGATCCAACTTCATTGGTGCCGAAAAGGAGCTTCGTCAGGCATTAGATGAAATGGACAAGGATAAAGTTAGAAATAAATTACTGCATTTCAACGTTGATTGGATATTCAACCCCCCAACCGCAAGCCACATGGGAGGAATTTGGGAGCGCCAAATTCGCTCAATTAGAAAGGTCTTCAATTTTCTCCTCAAGGAACATGGAAGATGTCTAGATGATGAATCGTTTAGAACTTTAATGTGCGAGGTCGAACAAATCTTAAACTCTAGACCTCTTACATTCTTTTCTTCTGATAAAGACGATTTAGATCCCTTAACGCCCAATCACATCTTAACTACTAAGACTCAAGTTGTTTTATCACCGCCTGGATGTTTTCAACGTGAAGATCTATATCTACGTCGCAGGTGGCGCAGAGTCCAGTATCTCGCCAATCTGTTTTGGACCCGATGGAAGAAGGAGTATATGATATGTTTACAGGAACGCAATAAATGGTGTCATCCTCAACGTAATGTCCAGATTGATGATATTGTTCTTGTGTGTGATGACAGTCTCCCTAGAAACGAATGGATAATGGGAAGAATCGTTTCAACAGAAACTGATAATAAAGGACTAGTTAGAGCTGCTAAAATTAGAACGTCAACCACTCAACTACGCCGACCTATTGCTAAATTGGTTCTACTACTTGAGAAGGAAGATGGTGATTAACGTGTTAAAGTGACTTTTAAGTGATTTAATGTTTAATAGTATTTAAATGACTTTAATGGTATTACGGTTTAACGTGGACAATTTTTAATGTGTTTAAACGGCTGCAGTTATTAAGACTGAATATTAGTTTGTAAATTGATTTCCTAATTTAGGGACCGGGTATGTGCCCGCAGCCGATCAATTTATGTATTTTAGTTTAACGGTTAGAGGGAGGCAACTCTCTTTATTAAAAAGGATGATGTAAGCAAGCGGGAAGCGTGCAAAAGAAAGATGGCGAAGTAAACAGCGGTCTCAAACTATTTGAAACCGTTGTCAACGGTATTAACGTTAAAGTTTTCCTATAGATGCTCAATGCTTATGTCACACGGTTAACGGATATTGAGTGTCGATGGCGAACTGTATAAGCTGCTAGTTTAAGGTCTCAATTCGTCGTGTCTATGTGAAAGGCTAACGGTAAACAAGACATCGGCTATTGAGTATTGGTAACGGCATGGCTGCAGTTTCAAGTTAAAGGGACGGTGACGCGTTTCAATACCGCTATGTACAAGGTTTAAGGTTTACTTATAAATCCTATGGTGGACAGAATAAAGAAATTTTATGGTTTAAATGTATTTACTTTATCGAGTTTACGGCCACCATACTTATTAACCCATATTATAATTCTAATTTTAGGGTCCTCGTAATGCAACACTCTTCTGAACATTTCCTGTCCGTCTGTCTGTCGGAACCGTGGAATTTCTGAGATTTGTTTTCTTCTGGTTGTTGGGATTTTAAGTGAGACTCAAAAAAGATCGAATCTTCAATTATATTTAAACGCGTCTATACTAATCTTCAAATACGTGTTATTGTTTTTTATATTCGATCTGGTATAGCACAGGGAATATGCAATGTTCGTACTGCTATAAGTAGTCAATACATTTAATAAAATATAAAAAATCATAAGGCATAACCACCATTTCATATAGGATTATATAAAACTTAAAAAGCGTATTTGTGCTTATTTTGGCTATCTGTCTTAAATACCTTTGTCGGAAACTTTTGGTTTTCTCACCCATCGGTATATAATTCACAGCTATATACGCAACCGTCGCCAACTGGGCTGTATATTGCTCGAACATATGAAACGGAAATGATTTATTAATTACAGGCATATCAATGAGACCGAGTACTTTATCAGAAGATCAAGATAAAGTTGTCCATGCACCATTTACTTTGTTCCCAACAACAATATCTGAATCTAATTTACAACTAGCTACGCAATCTATGGTACATTTTAATCGTCTGATGCACCATGTTGCCATGGATCATCAATTATTACAAGAATCATTTAAACAGTAAGACTATTTAACTTTTCATATTTGGTATTTATTTTTTCGGTTTTTACTCCGAAATGAAATGTAAAGGGGTGTTAAACGTCTACATTGTCTCCACCAACCTGGTTAATCGAAGTACTAACGGCAACTGTCAACGGTTCTTTTAGGTACACGTCAATGTATACACGGGACCTCGTTTTTTTAGCCCCATACGAAAGACTAGACACTGTTGCTTTCCAGACCCTCCGCCCTGCACGCTATATGGCGTATGTCCGTCTTCATTAGCCCTTTTGGGACAGAAAAGAGGCACGTTAAACATAATTTCATTTCATTCAGCTCGTATAGTTTACTCACGGAAATATTACTCGTTATTAATAGTGTTTAATGCTTTATTATACAGAAACAAGCCCAAGTTCAACGAAATTTTGCCAAACCTGTGTCATTTTTAAAATATATTGTTTTAGTATTATAGATGTGGATGAATTTACCGAGAGACTATGGAATATTTATATGGCGGTCTGGAATGATGAAAGGGTTCAGGTAAGAACTACTCCCTACAAGAAAAATACGCATTCTTTTAAGTGAATGAATTGTACCAGTATTAGTTCTTTAATCAGGTTCGGATGACAAGACTAGTTTAACATCTTAAAATACTTTTATTCTCTGCTTCTTCTAACATATTATATACAAAACTTAAAGACTCCATAACTAGCTTACATTAGTTGGCCGTTGTCCGGTCTTAACTCCATGACCTGCGTGGCCTGGAGTTAACTACCAGACGTCGCCTAGCCTCCGCCTGCTCTCCTGTCCTGCCTGGACCTCTCTGCCTATTTGTTTCTTAATCTGGGTTTATAAACCTTTCCACACACTAAGGTTGCAACGATATCAAATTCTGATATCGCCATTAATCATGATAACTGCTTTTGGAATTATCGCGATAAATAAAAGTCTACGATTATCAATTTTATCACGATAATTCTCTTTATCATGATATTTTTCTCACCACCAACATCGTTTGGCTTTATCCCAAAATAATTCCACACAACAGACGATGTGTTTGCCTTTGCCGACAAATCAACGACATCAACTTGATCAAGATCATTATAAGCAGTCACTTGTTGTAGGCCTATTTGTATAATAGCATCGGTAGGTGTTTTTTGGACGTTCGACATTTTAATCATTAATTACAGTTTAAATTCTATTCTGTAGCAGCCGACGCACTGTGACCGAGTAAAAGACGAGAAATGGAAAAACCACCGACTCGATTGACCAGTCTTGAATATGGTATAACCGCTGTGTTAGTGTATGTTTTTCAACAATAAAAAATATACAAATTTATTAGTTTGTAAATATCTCATTAATTAAAGTTTAGTCGTATGGTTTTAAATATATGTTCTAATTACTTCTAAAATATTAAAAACCACCCAAAGTATGTTTTAAAAAATCATATCGATGAACCTGAGTGCGGATTCATAACTTGAAAAAGGCGGCTGGATGACTAAGTCGAGTTACTTGGTTGCTTTGTTTTGGCGGGTTAAACAACCAGACGTACAGTACTAACTTAACATTGAAATAAACATAATATTTTCAGTCTTGTTAACCGGGGATTCACCGCACCGTTGCTACGGTACACCGATGTCGCGTGCGGCTTTGTTTACAAAATGTGTTTCGGGAACTTTCTCTCACCGATTTTTATTGTATAATTTTACAAGTAGTAATTAAACTATTATTTCGAATTCGATCCGGCCCCCGCACCGGTGAAAATGAACTTTGGATTTATTGCACCGACCTCCGCCCCAAAAAATCCTAAAATACCGGGGATTGCGATTATTCAACTTTGGCCGATACGATATCACTTGAAAAAAAATAATCGCGATAATGCGGCATCCCCGGGGTATCGCTGCAACCTTACCACACACAAAGGAATCTCATTAGGCATCTGCTATAATGTATCATGTTTCATATCAGTTAACGTTCAGTATAGTTTATCAGACAAAGAAGTAAGATAAGACATGCCATCAACAAGTTAAAGTTACATAAGTTACATAATGCTACCAAGATCTATAGGGGTCGGCAGGTGGATTTGATATTCAAATTACTTTCACATGTCAAGATGGCAGGGGGCATAACATGTCATTTTGTAACATACCTTCCCTTTTTTTTCAATAAAGTTATGAATTATATGAAATAACTTATTTTAAGACAGTTACAAACTTAAATATAAATGGAGTCGAGAATAACTACCCTAATTAAAATATAAACAAAAATACGAAAAATTACAATATACTGATTAAAAGTTAAATAAACAAAAATAAAAATTTAAATGGCAAAGAATAAAACACTGGTTGAAAATATACTAGAATGTTCATACATTATGTCGCAGATAATTTTAATGTTCACACACACGAGTTCTTGGAATCGCATATAACGCACACTATTCTGTTTTGCACACACGCGAGTTATTTGAATCACTAATAATTATAAACAAAAAAAAAAAACACACTGTAGAGCTATTCTTATGTTCACACACACAATCGGTCACACCAGCGAGTCAATGAAATTACATATATACATATATGTCACAGACTACTTTAACGTCCACACACGCAAGTTATTTAAATTACTTATAATTATAAAAAAAACAAAAAAAAACACTGTAAACTATTTTAATGTTCGCACACACTCGAGAAGCGCGAAATACCATCCTTGAAGCCATCTGTAGGGAAAGGTACGAATTATTACCCTCTTCTTTATCCTCTACTTTATTCTGGTGGCTAACTGTAGGGAGGAGTACAAATGATTTCCTCCTTCTTCTTTTAATTCCTCTTCCTCCGTTCGAGGTTCCGGTAATGGCGCGGGGTCAATATTTACCTTGCATAGTGTAGCCCCATTATTGGCATTATTTGCCACCATTGTTGTTGATCGGTAGTCTTTTCGTTTTCCATACCGTCTGGCCGGAACGGTGCGTTATGACATGTGCTATGAGGAGTATTATAACTGTCACCCGCCCAAGTTTTATCATCTGTTTATCATATCATGGAGTGTACTTAATTAATAGTTAATCGAATTAGCAAGTGGAACAGACTGACTTTAGATAACGATCTAACGATATTTACATTATTATTTACATGGATACAATTGAAATTAGGGTGTCATATTGTTTTATCTCAAGATAAAGAATAAGGAATGATCTGAACACATTTCTCAAATCTTGAATAAGACCTTTTTTAAAAACATTTAGCAAAATTAAAAACGGTTTATTTCTCTAAGTTTCAAACAAAACACAAAACAAAACTTCACATTCGCTTCTACTTTCAGCGCGGCTCAAATTCTCTTGAGGAATATACATAAAATCTCTCCCGAACTTTCGGGGCATCCCATCAAATCGTGGGGCATTACAAATAAAAATCTCTCCCGTAAATATCGGGCTCTCCCAGTAAACTTTGGGGTAATCACAAATAAAAATCTCTCCCGTAAATATCGGGAATCCCATTAAATATTTTGGGTAATATACACATATAGACAGAACAACAACAAACTTAGAGGAAACACGTTAATACTTTGTGAATGTTATTGGGTTAAATTCCAAATTACCATACTGTTAACTCGATTCTAGTTAAAAATTTCACGAAACATTTTAGTTCTCGATTTTGAATGCCAAAATATGTGTTCAAAAACAAACAATTATAATCTATAATCTTTTAAAACAACATGACTCATTGGAAAACAAACAATATATATACAATTTTGTTTTAGTCATTTTCCACTGCTAGCTTGAAAGGCAATATATTAAATTTAGTAGTTACACCATGATATTTAATGACCCGTGATGATAAACTGCTGATTTCCCAGTTAAATTATAATACATAGCACTAATGTCGTTATTAACCGTGGCCATGGTAGGATCAGAAAAAGACTTACCTGTGAATACTAATTGCTGTGGCCTGTGATCTTCTATCTAGTGGTAGGACTTCAAAACGTTGGTCTAGTCTACGGCATCAATTAATATGTACCAGTATTAGTTCTTTAATCAGGTTCGGATGACAAGACTAGTTTAACATCTTAAAATACTTTTATTCTCTGCTTCTTCTAACATATTATATACAAAACTTAAAGACTCCATAACTAGCTTACATTAGTTGGCCGTTGTCCGGTCTTAACTCCATGACCTGCGTGGCCTGGAGTTAACTACCAGACGTCGCCTAGCCTCCGCCTGCTCTCCTGTCCTGCCTGGACCTCTCTGCCTATTTGTTTCTTAATCTGGGTTTATAAACCTTTCCACACACAAAGGAATCTCATTAGGCATCTGCTATAATGTATCATGTTTCATATCAGTTAACGTTCAGTATAGTTTATCAGACAAAGAAGTAAGATAAGACATGCCATCAACAAGTTAAAGTTACATAAGTTACATAATGCTACCAAGATCTATAGGGGTCGGCAGGTGGATTTGATATTCAAATTACTTTCACATGTCAAGATGGCAGGGGGCATAACATGTCATTTTGTAACAGAATGAAATGGGGTTCACGTCCTACATATCTGCACAATCTGGGATAATGAAGACGGGCATGCGGGCTTACGCCACACAAGTGAATTATTAGGACAATTTTACCCGGACTGCAATTGAATTCCAGCTGTAAAGGATTCTTTTACGTGTACACGGGACCTCGATTTTCCGCCCCATCCGAATTACTAGGCACTGTTACTTGCCATGGCTAGTAAGTCCGCCTCATCTGAGCCATCGTGTCTCCACCCTCTTTTCAATGAACGGGATTTAATTAAAAATTCTTCTATTTCAGCCGGTTTGGTTTGGTTTATTTAGAAACGATTTTCTGTTAGATGAAGATCCAGATACGTCCAAATTACAGTTAAAACAAGTTGAGATGAATACCATAGCCGCTGGTTTTGGCGGTGTTGGGTCGAAACTGGCTGATTTTTATCGGTAGAAGTCTACATTCTACAGTTTATAACTTTCATCAAATAACGATTTTATCTGGCCAAGTCGAATCTTTACCCGATATTTCAAAATCTGCGTGTAATTGATAATTTTCGATCTTAAAATTATATGTGATAGAGATTTACTTTTAATATTAAAATACCCACAATTCGTGCTTACAGAAAAATGCGGTTTCGTTATCGTGACACCGGGTTCATCCACCGGGATCAATTTCATTTTCATTTTGTTTTAGGTCTTCGGCGTCTTTGTCTGGTGTTTTGCACGAATTTGGCAATGTCACCAAAAAATTCCACCGCGTTGAACGATTCGTCGTTTCGTTTTCACGGGTCTCGGTTTATGTCGGACCTTTTTGTAAACGTTCTTTCCAATGGATCAAGATTCGAAGCAGGATACCTCCGAGAAAATCCTGTCCACCGGGTTTCATGATCATGTTCAATTTATCGTTGAATAGTTAAACGATATCGGGCCAGTTGTTACAATCTCTCTCGATTTCGCTCTACCCATCGTTCGTGTTGTTTGTGCATGGGTCGTATATTTCCTTTCAGTAAATGTTCGGCAGCCAACTCGAACCATTTCAACAATCCAATCTGGGCGATACCTGTCCATAAGACATTTCGGGTGACAGTTGTATCAAACGGTTAATAAAGCTCCCCATTCCTTTCAATTCCTGGCGTGGTGGTTGGCGGGGCGCTGTGCGGCGTCTGGCGACACCGTCGTCATCGAGACGTAGAGGGCGACGCGGCGCTGGGCGACGAGCGTCATCGCCTGTGACTGGAATCTGATGACGGCATGGCACATGTACGGCCACGGGGGATACACGTAAATCTGGAGCTAGATTGGCGGAGGCACTCGGTTGTTTGTGGTGCCAAATGAATTTTGTCCATTCCAGGCGGGCGGTGGAAATCTAGCACGGGGTAGTCCGGGAGGTGGATGACGGCGAACGGTGTTCTTAACACGAGCCATGATGACATCAAATGAAGGTGGACATCTCAGGGTCCTTTGTATACCCTTTTCGCATAGAGATGGGATGGTTCTTTCTCGGGTAAGATACGGTACGAAGACGTAGTTCATCGGGCGTACCGGGTTTCAGATCGATCAGTCAATAGCTGCGAGGGGTACTCGTGGCATCGGCAAAGGCTTCTTGCATAAATTGACCTTGTCCCGGATACATTTGTCGGGCCAAGACACCATCTGCGAGGCATCGCGAGGATTTTTAAAGAGGACCACATAGTGAGCATTTAAACTGATGGTCCTCTGTTGTTTATCAAACAGATTTTGCACAATGTAAATTACGCTCACATTTCTATGATGACTTTTCTTGGTGAACCAGCGTTCTAACGTGTCGGTGTCAAATCATCCACGACTAAAAATTGGGGTCCTTGGACTTGTTCCATCACCCCGTCCAAATTGCCCAACCCACGAGTATTGGTATTAGGAAACTGTTTGTAACTGCCTTGCTATTCGCCATAAGCCCAGACAATGCTTTCAAGGGGAGTATCAAACAATGACGCTTGGAAAAATTTCTGCACAAATACCGTTTTCTCCACAACCGTTGGTCCGCTAACATGGTAAAGGGGTGTTCGTTGAAGATTGTACTAATATCCATTGTTAGCACAAGAACTTTCCATAATATATACGTCTTATTACTTGAGTAGCTCTCTCCAGAATGAAGTGTCGATATTCTTGTTGTTGTTATATCCCTCTAAATCAGGTGATGGATGACGTATAATTCACTCATTAGTCACATCAGACAACATTCAAATCGTTGAGCCTGTTGCGCATGACCGACACAGCGTAAACAATACGTCATCGTTACGTGATAGTCCTGTAGTAAACTGGAGGCGAACCAGTGATCCATTGTTTCTTGTGTCTGTTTCACCCCATACGTCTTGACCAAACGATCCAGTACATTACAAATGATCTGATCTTCCTCGTACCAGGTGACGACTTGACAACCTTGACTCTTTTACTAATAGGCATTCTAAAGGCGTGTGAGAGGGTACAGCTTGTCCAGCATATCACTTGGGGGGTGTGGTTTCGATTCCCCGGTTGTACGTGGCAAGGGGTAGGGTCGCCTGTCCAACCTCGTGGGTTTTCTCCGGGTCCTCCGGTTTCCCCCCCCCCCACCGCTATAGACCCCGACGCGCAAGCGAATTATTGAAATCAATTAAAGCATATGTTAGTCCCGAAATGACCTAGTTTGTGTCGAGTGGACGTTAAACCACATCTCTCTCTCTCTCTCTCTCCAACATATCACTTAAAAACAGCGTATCTTCTCTATTCATGTTTTCTCCTGATTAAAGTCCGGTATCACTGCCCGGTGTTGTGTCACAGCGTGTTCTACATCAACTTCGCACTGGGGCCCACTGGGGATCTGCTTCCCATTCTTGTACCTGTTGTAGCGGCTCGTCCATGAAACTTCCCAATACTTTCTCTTCATCGTCGTGGTTGTGGTCATATAATGCTTGATCTAGATACATGTCTACGGGGTGTAACGTCTGACCGGTGATGGAACAGAGTATCCCAAACTCAGACAGGAATGATAACGTTGACTCGGGTAATTGTAGTCACATCCAGTGCAGAAAGTATATACGTCAGCCATGGCTGCCTCAATTTATCATAGGGTAAAGTATTTTTGGACTGCCCGTCTTTGTCCAAGTACACAAAACATTTGTTGTATACTATTTTTATAGACTTTGTCCTCCACGCGGGACCTTAGATGTCGATCACGTGACCGTTCAATCTTGTGCAGATTGGTGACTGTCTTGGGCGAGACGGTGTCGAAATTTAACAGTTGACTGTTCCGATAGTTGAGCGTAAATCCCCTGATTTTACACACCATTTCCCAGTTACTGGATTGGTAGGCGTAATTCTTGGGTCCACCAGATACAAACTGTCGTATGGACAATGTTTCGGGCAATTCGTTCTTCCATTCGCCCAAAGAGCTTCCTTCCGGGGGTTCCATTGATTGCGATCGTATTTGAAAATGACACTGTCTGTATCAAAGTAGCACACACCTTCTCCCAGCGGTTCCAATGCCGAATACAGTTGAATACCTTCCTTGTCGTACACCTCTTAGATGTAACGTCGTCCGTGGGGCAGACGTCCGGATATCCACAGACTTCCATCTTCTTTTTCAAGTAATGATCGATGTATCCCGCAAATAAACCTTCAGACTTGGATTGACTGTCGTACTGGCTCCATTCTCTCCAATGCTACACTTCGTACACGACAAGGACTTGATAACCCATCGCCACGACCTTCTTTAATTCCAGCGAAACAAAAGTTCCTACCCAGGCTCTTTCCCTCTGCTTGTGTGTACAGTTCATGTAGTGCGTGGTCTCACTTTTCTGCATGTTCTGTTCCACACAGCTCTGACACAGCGGAAAGGTGAGTTTACCGATGTATCGAAACGAGAGCACGGGATGGAAACACGGAACACTGAATGAGACCTTGGTACTGTTCCCAAGCTTGACTGGGTCGTGTAATGATGTCTGGTTCTTTGAGGGGAAATTTACAATATTTACACACCCAAGGATAAAGGGACACCACGTCCTCGTATAGGATCTCTTGGTCGGGATGTTCGGCTTTGGCCATTAATTGATAGGCATTGGTTCTTCCTCCGGACAAGGCCCCATCCCTAAGCTTCTTAACTGGTAAAGGATTCTCACATCTCAGGATTACAACGACGTTCTTCGTTCAGTTCACATTCCCATATGACTTTGATCTCTAATAGGCAATATACGTGACGTAATTTGTGAAGGCGGTCTTGGGTGTGTTGATACAAATCACGTATGGTTCTAGTATGGGACCGGGGTAGCAGCGAGGACCCCATGAATTCGTAGCCCGTGTTATCGTCGTAGCGATCTAACTGATACTGGCTAAATTCCAACCATCTCAAGGCTATATTTGATTGCTGCCGGGGTGGAAATTGTTTCCAATCTTTTCCGGTTTCGGGTTCCTGCATCAAGGCTCGGGGAACGATGGTCATGGTGTCGGGTTCCAAATATTGCGTACGAAATACTTCATTACAGGCTGAAGCAAACGTGAGATTTTCCACAAAAGGATCGAGGCCCGTGTCCATCAAAAACAAGTCTCCGAAAGCAGCACAGGCGCGTCTAAGTTACATCCACGTCGCTCTTGCAATAAGTCATCGGCTCGTGTTGAAAATCAGTAGGTCGTGATTGTGTTGCTGGTACCAGGCGTAAAAGACTTTGCGTTCAGGCACACTCATGCCATCAGGGTCGTATTCATCGGGTGGGAAAGGACTCACGTACGCGTAATGTTTTGGCTTGTTGAAAAAGTGAGGAAAATAACCTTTCTTCAGTTCCGTGAGGCCAAATGTCTTGGGTAAAGCTCGTAAGGGCATGGGTAAAAAAATTCCGCGAAACGACAAATTTAACCGCACCCAAGGTCAATGTCATAACTTTCCTACCATCGCATGGTCGTGTATCGTCTGTAACATCAGCAAACCATCGCATCCCTTGAAATTATGTGCAACGGCTATGGCTTGTGTAGACTTGCAAGGTTTTCTTCCTCCGAGAATCGTACCATGTGCCGATAAATGTATGAACCATTGTCCCACGTCGTCCAATGTACGAAATATCCATTCACGTTGACCATTCCAGAAAGGAACAGAGTATTCACTGAGTTTCGATGATGTCATGCAAAGATGACAACAGCACTGCAACACACACAAGTTTACTAATGTTCTCCCGTATCTTGGATACATTCGACATCATAAAACACAAAACGTCAAAAGTCAAATCATTACCTTGGAGTCTTGCTAACTGTTCTGGCCGATCCAGATGTCTTTTGAGTTTTTGAATGTAACACCAATGATGGTCTCTGCGCTGATGCCATTTCTTACACACAGAGTACTCGTATTCCCCACATAAATGCTCGGTCCATGTCCGATGTCTTCTCAAAATATCTCATTCTTTACCGTACTGTAGACGTTTTGTCCATCGTTGACAGATCGTTGGTGTACCTGGTTGCCGGGGTTGAATATGACGTTCGTAGCACACCTGGTTAGGAAAACGCAGTCTCGACGGGTAGCATCTTCCAAACACGGGGGTTCCGACTGTTGACAACTGTGACACATGGCATGACACCCGTGTTGATTCGGATGATAATAGCCTTTCTGATAGGCCTCACAAAAATATTTTCATTAAAAAAAAGCAGGCATGGAAGTGATGACGTCATAGTGAATTGCGTGATGATATAATGGTAACACTCTAGGATTACCACCTACGACGTACTTGGTTTCTTTGAACATGAGCTTACCAAAGAGTTGCCGAGAATGAACATTTATCTGGTACCCATGACGACCCAGAATGCGTTGGTAGTATTCCCAGGTCTTGGGGCCACGACATGCGTCGTAGACACCTCCTAACTTCTCAATTTAACGAAGAGTCTTTCGTGTCTGCCAGCTGCTGTGTCCACAATGTTTGATAACTCTTGTCCTTTCCGCTCCCCGCTCTAGAGTGTCGTTCTTGTTGGTATAAGGCCTGGCCACCGCTAAAGCACGCTGAAAACATAGTTGGTCCCTATTTTTGATGACAACGATGGATCTTTTTCGTTTTAAATATTCTTCAAATGAACTTATGTGAACTTTGGAGAGCCTTCCACTTCCGGATCCATTAGGCGGGGCAACGTAACTCACGTAGTCTCAGGCGTTCATCCATCTTGAACTCTTCGTTAGATTGTAATATTCGGGTTCCTACGTGATGTGCCTACGACGGTAGAAGTCGAGACGACGGAAGCGATGGAAGCCGACTACGAAGCAGGTGACCAGGGCACGTACAGCGACGAGGGATGGATGGCCGTCGACCCTTTCCTAGCCGATATGAATGACGATATGTACAGCTGGTTTTATGCCGATGCGTTCAGGGTAAACGGATCATCTACGCCAGTTCCGTCATCTACTCCACTACCGGCATCCCTATACGAGCCGTTTACGGACATTAATTTGCCACGTTGAAGAAATGGTATGAACCCGACTCGGCCACTTCACTTCCTCAAAAACGAAAGCGGTGCGAGGACGACGACGACGCCTTGGATAGGCACAAACGGTCAACCAACCAACCAAGGGCCACAAATTTATTCAGAAAGAGTGTGCATATTCTATTTTGTTTATAACTTTTATGAGAACTTTTCATAGATTACACCCTCACACCATGTAGGCTGTTCCCCGTTAAATATAACCCCCTAGAAAGGAACCCCTTAGCCCCTAAGTCCAACAATTTATTTATAGATTAATACCATACTTCTCCTACACATGTAGGCTAATGCAATGTGTTCCCCGTTTAATATAGCCCCCTATTACCCCCTGAGTCCAACCTAGATTAATAGGTTTATCACCAAAGTTGGGGATTTCCCTTAAATCCAGCCTTATATGGATATGGGTGTTACAGGGAAGCCTAACAGGGAAGTCCAGAGAAAGGGCGAGGGAATCCAGAGAAAGGGTGAGAAAAAGACGAGCAGCAAAGAGAGGGAATCCCCCCGAGCAAAGGGAGGGAACCCCGAGAAAGTACGCGAGAATACGGAAAAAGGGGGAAATCCCGAGACAATACGAGAGAAAACGAGAAAAGGAAGCCCCCCCCCCCTAGCCCCCACGGAGAAACCTATGACGTTGCTAGGAAAGAGCGTGCGCTGCTAAGGGCATCCCTGGAGTCGGGCCCCTACTCCTTGTCACGTATAAGCGGGGAATCGAAAACCCACCAGTTGACTCATTGACAGACCTTATGATGCAACGTGCACGCGCTAACCATTCTGTCATAGACCCCCCCCCCCCAACACACACACACACACGAATAAATCTGCATTTATATTAACAATTTTTTTATGTTTATCATTTAAAGGTATATATTTTTGTCCCCCGCCTTTCGAAGAAAGCAGGGGACTATTAAAATGGGTTCGTCTGTCTGTCCGTCCGTCCGTCTGTCTGTCCGTCACACTTTTTGGGACACAATAACTCTCTTCCTAATTGAGCTAGAATGTTCAAACTTGGTGTATGTGTTTATTAGGTCAATGCCTTGATGGAGTTCGAAGATGAGCATTTTCCGCTTAGGGTAAGCAGAGATAAGCAATTTGATTGGTTGATGCTTTGGGACACGATAACTCTCTTCCTAATTGGGCTAGAATGTTCAAACTTGGTGTATGTGTTGATTAGGTCAATGCCTTGATGGAGTTCGAAGATGAGCATTTTCCGCTTAGGGTAAGCAGAGATAAGCAATTTGATTGGTTGATGCTTTGGGACACGATAACTTTTAATTGAGCTAGAATGTTCAAACTTGGTGTATGTGTTTATTAGGTCAATGCCTTGATGGAGTTCGAAGATGAGCATTTTCCGCTTAGGGTAAGCAGAGATAAGCAATTTGATTGGTTGATACTTTGGGGCACGATAACTCTCTTCCTAATTGAGCTAGAATGTTCAAACTTGGTGTATGTGTTGATTAGGTCAATGCCTTGATGGAGTTCGAAGATGAGCATTTTCCGCTTAGGGTAAGCAGAGATAAGCAATTTGATTGGTTGATGCTTTGGGACACGATAACTTTAGTTCTAATTAAGTGAGATTGATGAAACTTGGTGTATAGTTTCATTACAGTAATACCTTGACTAAATTTGATAATGAGCATTTTCTGCTCAGGGTAAGCAGAGCGATACGCAATTTGATTGGTCGAGACTTTGGAAAACAATAACTCTCCTACTTTGATTGTTAGACTATAAGTAAAGATATACTGTTTGATTGTTCAATACTTTGTAAAAGATAATTTGTGATAAATTTATATGTGTCCTCTAATTATTTTCCTATTTCGGCGGGGGACATCAGCCTCACTGTTGGCTTGTTTAACCATTGTTTTATGTTTATTATTTAAAGGTATATATTGGACCTGATTGGCGTGGAATATACATATAACCAGGTAACATGAATGTATAACTAGAGTTCCTCTGCTTTGCTTGAAAGCGGTCTTTAATGTATTGTTTTTCGTTTTCAAATCCTTTTTATTATACGCCCACATTGAAATGTGGTCGTATCTTGTCGTCGCCCCCGTCGTGGCTTTTGGATGCTCTAGAAGCTAAAGTTGATATCCGATTGGAAATATATAGGCTATATGCGACCAAGAAGCCTATTGATTGTCAACGATTTCTGATGATTGCTGCCAGAGTCGTGACCCTTGATCACTTAGAAATATATTGTGGACGCTCTAGAAGCTCAAGTTAATATCTGATTGACTTTAGATTTATACACAGTGTTTAAGGTCATGGGACGAAGTAGGCTACCCTATTGATTTTCAGCGGTTTTTGATAATTACTGCTAGAGTTATGGCCCTTGATCATTTTGAAATATCTTGTGGACAAAGTTAATATCCGATTGACTTTAAATTCATACACGGTGTTTAGGGCCATGATACGAAAAAGCCTAGTGATTTCCACACAGTGTTTAAGGCCATGGGACGAAAACACCTATAATATAATTACTTCCAGGGTTAAGGCTCTTGATTACTTCGAAGAATCCTGGGGATGCTCTACAGGCCAAGTGATCATTCGATTGACTTTAGATTGATACAAGGTCTTGAGACGAACAAATATATTGATTTTCAATGATTTGTGATAAATTGAACGGCTAAATCCATGATATCAAATGTTTTCTGATAATTACTTAAACATACATTATGCAAGAGCTAAATCTGATTATTGCAAGTCTTTATTTAGGCTACAGATGTCATAGAAAATATAAATTAGATCTTTATTTACACAACAAGCACAAAATCAACTCTGTAGACCCACGGATGGCTTGGATTCAGCTTGGATTTAAACGGGATTTCGTTGACAGATTTAATTTTAAATGGCGTCGTCAGCGGAGATTAACAGTTACGTTGACGTCATACTCCCGAGGCTAAATGATAGAGTGTACGAAGCGAGGCCGCTGTTGAGCAATGCCTTAACAACTATTTAAAGTGCAATAAGCTAAACACAGATAATGACAAATTATACAATTCCTGGAGACCGTGTGATGACTAATACAGACGGACAGGTCTTCTGTCTTAATAATATCAATAAAAATATTTTTATTTCCCCAATAGGCACGACGCCACTGGTGTATATCTATAGATTTATCATAATTGTATTATAATATTATGTCCTATATTCGACTGATTTAATGCATGCCCAAAATACAAGTAAGAATGAAAATTTACCCTCTCACTCATTTTGTCCAATTGTTATAAAAATCCAAAAAGGTAAAACACAAATTCGGATATGATGACAGCAGACAAAAGACAGCAGAGATTATGTAGGTGGAGTTAACGCCTGTCAATCAAACGATCGGCCATACTAAGAATCGGTGAAGATGGAATTCAATCCCATTTCTAGTCAAAAATTACACTGTTGATAACTATGTTCAGAATAAAGTAATTTGACTGAAATTTTCAATATATTCTTCTTTCATCATCTATTTTTGAACTGTTATAGCAAGAATGGCTAACTCCTTATAAAAAATCTTCCATAATGTATCTTTAATGAGTCTTCACTCTTAATCAGATTTTTGTGTATTATAAATGTTTCATTACCGACAAAAGAAAAAAATATGCAACAACTCTTGTTAACTGCCAGGACGACTTAACTGCTGTTGTCGAATGTTTCGTTGCCTAGCAATCTATCTTTTCTGTTATCCAAACATAATCTTATTGTTATAATAAATATTTATAATTCCAGATACCAGATAGCCAATCCGTGTATGGATTTGCTTCAGGATTTGTTAACGCCTGGGGGATGTATGGAAATCCAAAGTAAGAAATTAAAAAACATACCAATATGCATTTAGCATAATTATACTCAGCCAAATTAAAAACTTGACACTCGGGATTTTTGGGACTAGATTTTTAATATTTGGTTTAAGGCAACTATTTTAGTGTTATGTTGTGCACAGACTACCTGGACATCAACAGAAAGCAAGAATACGTCTCGCCGGAAGTCCTTGACATTGATAACGTTCGTGATGTCACAGTACCCCCCAAAATGAAATTCACAGACTTGGAGAACAATCGGAATAAAGTGTTTAGTAACGGTTGTGGCCTCCTCTAGCGTCTCGTACTGCCACACAACGTCTTCTCATGGATCTCAGAACATTAGTAAACACTACCCGAGGAAGACGTCGCCACTGCTCAGCAAGAGCATGTTGAAGGTGGATTCACTTGCTGACGAACACGTCGACCCAGATCGTCCCAGATGTGTTCAATAGGATTAAGGTCGGGGCTAAGCGACGGCCAATCCAGGACTTGGACACCGGCTTTTCTTTAAAAATTCTGGGTAGCAATTGCTGTATGGGGTCGAGCATTGTCTTGTTGAAACGTTAGTCCAGGCCCATGTCTCTTCATAAACGGAAGAAGAACAGGTTGCAAAATCTGATCCCTGTACTGGACAGCATTTAAGTTCCCTTGGACAACAACAAGAGGAGAACGTCCATGTGCACAAAAAGAACCCCAAACCATGACGCTGCCGCCACCAAATCGGCCAACTTCTCTGACGCATACTTGAGCGTAACGTTCACCTCGTCTGCGGTACACTCGGGCCCTGCCATCGGCAAATCTCAAAGTGAATCGAGATTCGTCACTAAAGACAACCGAATTCCACTGTCTTTGAGTAAATCTTATGTGTCTTGTGGCCCACACAAGTCGGTTACGGCGATGAAGAGGTGTCAATATTGGTCCATTATAGGGCCTCCGAGCTCGAAGACCAGCAGCCTGCAAGCGATTTCGAACAGTTTGTGCAGTTACCCTTCCACCAAACATCTCTCTACTTGTGGAGGTTGCAGTGACAAATCTGTTTCTAAGATGACGTAATCGTATTGCTTGATCTTCCTGGAGTGGGGCCCTTGGGCGGTCGGCAATAGTTCCAGTTTGAAGCACTCTCATTCTAAGATTAATTATTGTCTGGCGTGAACAATTAAAGGCTCTTGCAACAGTGACCACAGACTGACAGCATAGAGCCTACCTATAGCACGTACACGTTCTACATTTGAAAGGCGCGGCATTTTCTAACAAAGATGAAAATAACAATTTTAATTTGTTTTTCCAGTTCAAGTTACGTGTGCGTGTTCAGTTTAAGCAAACTTGCATTGATTGACCTCACGAGTTTGTGTTTGCACTTGTTTTTCCGGTTTTTCATCTTTATATGCTCAAAAGTCACGTGATCCACGTGACTTTACAATTTTATGAAATTAAAGGCTTCTTACTACTTACTATCGTTAGAAACACATTAACATTTATTTGACTTACCAGAAAAAAAAAATTGTTGAAATTCATCAGTGTCAAGTTTTTAATTTGGCTGAGTATATTATATATGATCTGCATTTATTTATGACAGCGCAATTGCGCGTTTTCTAAAGCGCTGTTTTCTTTTAATTCAGACAAGTACCTAATTATGTATATCGTGCACGAGACAGGGTATGTATACTGATTATCGAGAACTTCTTATGTTTCGTGTATTTAAAAAGTTGTCAAATAAACTTATATTTATTCGGATTTGCAATAATAGTCATTTCAATCCATTTATACCTGTTTTTCCCTAGGGCTGTCATTTTGTTCATTGTAAAACACAACGAAAGAAATATTATGGATCAACGACTTCTAGAATATGAAATCTATAAGCAGAACAAAAATATAAAAATTATTAGAAAGACTTTTGAGGAACTAGTAAAAGATGGAAAACTGACAGAAGACCGAAAATATTTCATGTAATTATCTTTTTCAATTTGATACAGCATACCAACACCGCCAAAACCAGCGGCAATGGTATTCATCTCAACTTTTTTGATTTGATACAGCATACCTCAAATTGTAATAGAACGGTACTTTCGGGACTAGCACATGGTTCAATTTTATTTCAATAATTCTCTTGCGCGTAGGGGTCTTTAGCAGTGGGAGGAAACCGGAGGACCCGGAGAAAACCCACGAGTTTGGACAGGCGACTCTACTCCTTGTCACGTACAACCGGGGATTCGAAACGCGACGATAAAAATGCAGCCTGCCCACAAAGCAATAAGAATGCGACAATGCAAAATCGACTGTATACTATTTTTTTGGTAATATAAATTTATTTTATTAGAGGAAAGGAAGAAGTTGGTGTTGTATATTATAGAGTAGGGTATGCACCTACAGATTATACTGACAAGGTAAGCTCTTACCGGGAACTGACCCCGGAGCACCATTCGATTATACTGGACAAAACCGATTCGCAAAAACGAAAATGAAGACGGGCATACGCCATACAGTGTGCAATGGGTGAAATTTTGCCTGGCGACGGCGCTACGGTCTACGCTTTTACCGAATTGCAACTGTCAAGAGTTCTTTTACGTTCACACCTACACTTACTGCTCGCTAGCCTGGAGGTCGGGTGTTCGATCCCTGCATTGGCCGAGAAAGTTCATCCAGATTTTCCGGCGTGGTTCTCCCTTGTCAGTGATGCAGGACGGAGGGGCTGACAAGGAAAACTGTCTAGTCGTTCGGATGGGACGAAAAACGGAGGTCCCGTGTACACATTGGCGTGCACGTAAAAGATCCCTTGGCAGTTGGAATTCGATATAAGAGTAGGCCGTAGTGCCGCTGTCCGGGCAAAATTTCCCTCATAGCACACTGTATGGCGTATGCCCGTCTTCATTAGCCCAGGTTAGGAGCAGAACAGTAGGACGTTAAACTCCATTTCATTTCATTTCACCATATTATCGACAAGGGGTCATCAAGACGGAAAGTCCAGGGGAACCTTCTCGGCCAACACCGGGATCGAACCTCGGGCCACAGGCTAGTAAGCTAGCCCCTTGCTCATTGAGCACCCGCGTCCCCTATTCGCGAAAAACCCAACGAAGCTAGGTTAGATTATACCAACTTTAGAAGACTGTTTTATTTTTTATCTAATTTTGAAATCGCTACAAGAATCGCAACCCGAAATAAAAACAAATCATCCATGATCAAGATTCTCCTTTAATTGTATGTTTGTATACATTTTACGAATATAGGAATCTTTTTAGCTGAAATCTATTTAAAATAGGGCCTTCAGAATTCTGCAAATATTAGCTTGGGTGAACAAAATGATATTTAATTTATTTAGATCTGGACTATAAGAATAGAATTAGAGAAGGCCTGGTGTATAAAATGCCCACCTATACAATACCAACTTGTAGGAGCTAAGAAAATACAACAAGTGTTAACTAAACCTGGTATATTAGATAAATATATATCAGATATATCAATTAAACAATTAATACAATCTACATTTGTTGGTCAATATTCATTGGATATGGTAAGTAAATTGCTGTTGATTTTTACATTTAATTTACATGGAGACAAATGCCTGGAACATTGTCTGTTCCCACAGTCTTGTCGATAAAAAAACATGTGAGTATACAAAATGTGTTATGTTACACTTTTAGGTCTTTATGTCAGGTTCGTGACGACAACACTGGTTTAAACGTCATATAGTACTTTTATTCTTTTTTAAACGTATCATCTACAAGACTTGTTGAATAATACTTAGTTAACAGGTTCTTCGTCTGTGGCCTGGATTGACTACAATCGTTCGTTCGTTCGTTTCTGGTGTTTTACGTCCACTTCCACCTAAGGTGATATCGTAGACTACAATCGTGTGATCTGGTCTTATATTGTACTGGGCAAGATCGATGCCCAGCCTTGAATTCCAGATAAGACACTCACGCACTGTGGCCTGGTTGGTCAGTATTCGGTCTGAGATGGGTTATGCCCCCTTAGGATAGATAGTTTTTGACCAATCAGCTACGGACAGGTGTTATATTTCATATTATGGCCGGAGGCTGCAGCTGGTTCATTCGGCAAACCTCGACAGATTCTACGCATCTAATCTCGGCTGTGTGACCATTTCCGCCATATTTGAACTATTTTAAAGGTTCCGAATGAAAAATGGCTGCCCCCATGGAGATTTCTGTGGAGAGTGTATTATATCAACAAACGTCACGTTTGGCATTGGGTTTGGGGAATTACCAGGGAATTTGATCAAACCAGCAGTCTTGAGACAATATCTCTGCTCATTTAGGTATATACACTCTACAAAAGACGCAATCTGGGATTTTTTTGTAAAAGCGACACGTTTTCCTGTTTAAAGTAAACCGGTAGCCGCATCGCAAATGTATGGGCGTAGGCACATATCACTTACTGTCATACAGCCGAGATTAGATGTAGGGTACCGGAATCTGTCGAGATTTGCCGAGTGGCAGCTGGTTATTATAAAATACCAGGTTAAGCTTTCAGTACAGATTGCTTTACCATACAAAGGATATTACCTTGATGACTAATGACTTCACTTAGTCGTGCCAAGCTAGTGCCATTGTCGACCATCTGTGGGTCATAATCTGATAAGAATGCTTTGATCGATTTCATGTATGGAAGGTGTTCAGTGACATTTTCCTGGATAATGCCAATGGTGTAACAAATGATATTTAGATAAATAATTGTTTTGAGAACTTTCCTTCCTGGTGATGTCGGGTAATCTTATTTACATTATTGATGAGTTATTGTACATTTTGTTTTGTATTTGTTTTTTATGTGCAATAGGGAGAAGAAGGTGATAAAGCTTTAAATATGGCTGTCAGTAATCCTGATCAATTTGTTTTAAAGCCACAAAGAGAGGGTGGAGGTAAGAGAGAGAGAGAGAGAGAGAGAGGGTGGAGGAAAGAGAGAGAGAGGGTGGAGGAGAGAGAGGGTGGAGGAGAGAGAGAGAGGGTGGAGGAGAGAGAGAGGGGGTGGAGAAGAGAGAGAGGAGGAGAGAGAGAGGGGGTGGAGGAGAGAGAAAGAGGGTGGAGGAGAGAGAGAGAGAGAGAGGGGGTGGAGGAGAGAGAGAGAGAGGGTGGAGGAGAGAGAGAGAGAGAGAGGGTGGAGGAGAGAGAGAGAGAGAGGGTGGAGGAGAGAGGGTGGAGGAGAGAGAGAGAGGGTGGAGGAGAGAGAGAGAGAGGGTGGAGGAGAGAGAGAGAGGGTGGAGGAGAGAGAGAGGGGGTGGAGGAGAGAGAGAGAGGGTGGAGGAGAGAGAGAGAGGGTGGAGGAGAGAGAGAGAGAGAGGGTGGAGGAGAGAGAGAGGGGGTGGAGGAGAGAGAGAGAGAGGGTGGAGGAGAGAGAGAGGGTGGAGAAGAGAGAGAGAGGGGTGGAGGAGAGAGAGAGAGGGTGGAGGAGAGAGAGAGAGAGGGGGTGGAGGAGAGAGAGAGAGGGTGGAGGAGAGAGAGAGGGGGTGGAGGAGAGAGAGAGAGAGGGTGGAGGAGAGAGAGAGAGAGGGTGGAGGAGAGAGAGAGAGAGGGGTGGAGGAGAGAGAGAGGGGGTGGAGGAGAGAGAGAGAGAGGGGGTGGAGGAGAGAGAGAGAGAGGGTGGAGGAGAGAGAGAGAGGGGGTGGAGGAGAGAGAGAGAGAGAGAGGGGGTGGAGGAGAGAGAGAGGGGGTGGAGGAGAGAGAGAGAGGGTGGAGGAGAGAGAGAGGGGGTGGAGGAGAGAGAGAGAGGGGGTGGAGGAGAGAGAGGGTGGAGGAGAGAGAGAGAGAGGGGTGGAGGAGAGAGAGGGGGGGTGGAGGAGAGAGAGAGAGAGGGGGTGGAGGAGAGAGAGAGAGAGAGAGGGGGTGGAGGAGAGAGAGAGGGGGTGGAGGAGAGAGAGAGAGGGTGGAGGAGAGAGAGAGGGGGTGGAGGAGAGAGAGAGAGGGGGTGGAGGAGAGAGAGAGAGAGGGTGGAGGAGAGAGAGAGAGAGGGGTGGAGGAGAGAGAGAGGGGGTGGAGGAGAGAGAGAGAGAGGGGGTGGAGGAGAGAGAGAGAGAGAGAGGGGGTGGAGGAGAGAGAGAGGGGGTGGAGGAGAGAGAGAGAGAGAGGGTGGAGGAGAGAGAGAGGGGGTGGAGGAGAGAGAGAGAGAGAGAGAGAGGGTGGAGGAGAGAGAGAGGGGGTGGAGGAGAGAGAGAGAGGGGGTGGAGGAGAGAGAGAGAGAGGGTGGAGGAGAGAGAGAGAGAGGGGTGGAGGAGAGAGAGAGGGGGTGGAGGAGAGAGAGAGAGAGGGGGTGGAGGAGAGAGAGAGAGGGGGTGGAGGAGAGAGAGAGGGGGTGGAGGAGAGAGAGAGAGGGTGGAGGAGAGAGAGAGAGGGTGGAGAGAGAGAGGGTGGAGAGAGAGAGAGAGGGTGGAGGAGAGAGAGAGAGGGGGTGGAGGAGAGAGAGAGAGGGGTGGAGGAGAGAGAGACAGAGAGAGGGTGGAGGAGAGAGAGAGGGTGGAGGAGAGAGAGAGAGAGAGGGTGGAGGAGAGAGAGGGGGGGGGGGGTAATATGAAGATTGTCATGATTAATATTACAAAGCATACTCATACACCCAAATTACTGATATAGCTAAACGAAACAATAGTTTTATACACGGAACTGGGAAATGAGGCCTCAGTATTATAAATTTAGCAATAATTTAGAATTTAGTGCTAAAGTATCAGTAAATATGATATAAGCAAAAGCACACACAGCCAGAGAGAGAGAGAGAGAAATGGGGTTTAACGTCCACTCGACACAAACTAAGTCATTTCGGGACTAACATATGGTTTAATTTTATTTCAATAATTCGCTTGCGCGTAGGGTTCTTTAGTAGTGGGAGGAAACCGGAGGACCCGGAGATAACCCACGAGGCTGGATATGCTACCTACTCCTTGTCACGTACAACTGGGGATTCGAAACCACGCCAGTTGACTCAATGACAGGCCGTATGATACAGCACGCACGTGCTAACCATTCGGCCACCCAACCCCTCTCACACACAGCCAAGTACAGGGTAAAAAGCAAGTAAGCATATTACTACTCCTAAAGTTATAATTCATTCGTTCCTTCCTTCTTTCTTTCATAAATGGGCTTTTCGTGAATATAATTATTTCGATTGTATTGCAGTATTTGCATCGCATCAAATATATGACATGACTATTTTGGTTTTATTTTTCTTCCTTGCAGGCAACAATTTGTATGGCGAAGAAATGAAAGAGTTTTTATTAAGTATAGCAACATGTTCGGAGAGAAGTGCCTATATTTTAATGGATAGAATATATAGTAAACCCCAGTTAAATTCTATAGTTAAAACTGGAGTACCATTTACCAAGTTAAACTGTGTATCAGAATTAGGAATATTTGGATGTTTCATTGGGTAAGTTGGTTGAAAGTCATTTATACAATAAACAGAGGGTTACACAGGATTAGAGTTCGATCCCGGTGTTGGCTGAGATTTTGTGCTGTGAGGTTTCCCCTTGTCAATGGTGTAGGTACGAGAGAGAGAGAAATGGGGTTTAACGTCCACTCGACACAAACTAGGTTATTTCGGGACTAACATATGGTTCAAATTTATTTCCATATTTCGCTTGCGCGTAGGGGTTTTTAGCAGTAGGAGGAAACCGGAGGGCCCGGAGAAAACCCACGATTCGTGTACCAATGGTAAAATGTTTATTTTGTCTTAAATATTGGATATCAGAAGCCCATCTTTTCCAGGTACGATCACAACACCAACGCTGATTTAAATTGCAAAAAAATTGTGTTTTCAATGTCGAAGATTTTGGATGATATTGAGTTACGGACTTAGCTACTTTAACAGTCTGGTCAATACAATGATTGTGATTTTAAGGATTACTCAGTTCAATCAGTGGTTAGTTTCAAACTAGTGAACATTTTAATCACCCCCCAGGATTAAACACTTGATGAGTTCTTATTCTCGTGATGATCTACTCAGATATAATTCAAGAAATGTTAAATTATCAACTCAACTTTTTGAACATCTCAAGTTTTTGTGTATCTTAAAACTTTTTCGTGGGAAACGCGGTGGTATAAAATATAAAACTGATATCAAGCATCTACCAAACAGAAACACAATTTATAAGCAAAACAGACAGACACAAAAAGCACCAACTCTACATCAAAACTACATGTTGCCCTCTTAAATGCACAATCCTGTCGTAATAAGGCTTCAGATCTTTTATGCAACTCTCCTTCTGACATTGATGAACTATGTTGTGCCTTTAACAACACAATTATCACTCTTCTCGATAAACACGCACCAGTTGTTACAAAGGTGGTGCTACTTCATCCTGGTAGATCATGGTACTCAGAAGATGTAGCGAGGGCAAAGCAAGAACGCAGACGTGCAGAACGCAAATGACGTCATTCTAAATTGGAAGTTCACCGACAAATGTACAAAGAAGCTAGGTATAAGGTTTTAAGAACTGTCAAAAACGCTAAATCAAAGTACTGCATTGAAAAACTAACCAATGAATCACGAACACCTAGTCAGTGTTATTCATATTAGGTATCTCCTCAGAAACCATATTTACAGACTCAGATAACGACGTGAAGCTTGCTAACACATTCGCAGAATATTTCTCAAATAAGATTGATATACTAAGAAGCAACTAGATCAGTGCAATTCAGTAACTGAAACTCTTAAATCGACACTACCACCTTGTGATAATTATCTGACTGATTTTGAGCCTTATAGTGAAGATGAAGTCGTTAGGATTATAAAAACATCCAAAAAGACAACTTGTCTACTAGACCCCATACCAACCAAACTTTTAACTGAACACCAAGATCTTCTTCTGCCGGTCATTACAGTAATTATTAACACCAGTCTGACAACAGGTTATTTTCTTGGATTATTTAAACAGGCTGTAGTTAGACCTCTAATAAAAAAATCTGGCCTGGATCGCAACATCTTCAAAAATTACAGACCCCTGTCCAATCTGTCCTTTCTCTCCAAATTAATAGAAAAGGCGGTTAACAATCGAGTGCAGGTTTTTGTTAACAATAATAATCTATTGGATAAATTCCATTCGGCGTACCGATCTCATCACAGTACTGAAACAACTATAGTTCGGGTGTTAAATAATCTTCTGCGGATAGTTGATGGGAGCTTAATCCTTTTGGATCTATCCGCAGTATTTGATACGGTGGACCACTAGATTACGTCAATGTTTTCATATATCTGGAACAGCATTGCGTTGGATATCATCATATCTGTCAGATAGAAGTCAAAAGATTCTCGTAAACAGTTCTGAATCCAATCCTGTTAAACTTGATTGTGGTGTGCCCCAGCGGTCCGTACTCGGACCTGTGTTGTTTGTCTTATACACAAAATGCCTTGGTGATGTAATAGACAGTTTAGGGAGCACTCACTACTCCTACGCTGATGACACCCAATTACTTAGTGACGCTTATCAAAATCAAATTGACGAGTCTCTTCATCAGGTAACACTCTGCTCTAGATCAGTAAAATCGTGGATGAACGCGAGTAAGCTCAAACTTAATGATGACAAGACGGAAGTCATGCTTGTAAGGACATCTAAACGACTCAGGTCTACTCCAAATTCATGTGTGGTAATCTGTGAAACCGACATTCAGTTTTCATCATGTGTAAAGAATCTGTGTTCCTGGATTCCTCGTTAACCATGGAGAAACAGGTCGAACAACTTTGCCGTACGTGCAATTACCATCTTTGATGTATTGGCAATATTCGACACCTCTTGGCAGTTGAGGCCTGTAAGCTGCTTGTTCGTTCCTTGATATTCTCGAGACTGCAACAGTGCTTTGATTGGAATTCCCCAAAACCTATGTGCAAAACTCCAAAAAATTCAAAACACCGTCGCCAGAATAATAACAAGAACACAAAACTATTCTCATATAACTCCAATCTTAAAATCACTACATTGGTTACCCATAGAAGCCCGGATAACTTTCAAGATTCTAACATTGATTTATATGTGTCATCATGATCTTTCCCCATCTTACCTCACATATCTAATTCAATCATATCAACCAAGTCGAGTCGACCACTTCGCTCACAAAATAAGCCCTTATTGGTTTGCCGCAAGCTAAACTGAAATTCTATGGGGATAAAGCCTTCAGTGTCTGCGAACCGCGTTTGTGGAATAACTTACATTGTAGATAACAGAGTTCTCAAACATTAGCTGTGTTCAAATCCAAACTCAAAACTCATTTGTTTGTTACGTATTATCAGGATTAGCTATTATCATCCATGCGCAATTACAAATGTACATTATTATTATTATTAATAATGTCCCTCAAGGCCCGTCTTCATTAGCTTGGTTGGGACTAATTTCGGGACTAACATATGGTTTAATTTTATTTCATTAATTCGCTTGCGCGTAGGGGTCTTTAGTAGTGGGAGGAAACCGGAGGACCCGGAGAAAACCCACGAGGTTGAACAGGCGACCCTACTTCTTGCCACGTACAACCGGGGATTCGAAACCACGCCAGTTGACTCAATGACAGACTTTATGATACAGCGCGCGCACGCTAACCATTCAGCCATCCAACCCCCCTAGCTTGGTTGGTTCCGAAAAGTAGGACATTAAACCCCAGTTCATTTTATTTCTCAACGCATTGTTTTCCATTCATGATTCGTTGCTTTGATTTTGTTCCAATGTTTGTTTATTTTTAGGGCTAAAGATAAAGAGCTCTACAACATATCTTGCGGCCATATGTGGAGAACAAAACTGGCAGACACAGATGAGGGAGGTGTCAGTGCTGGATTCGGTGGACTTGATTTTCCGTTTTTTAACATTCCATAAACGGCAATACTATATACCGGAAAACACCGGAAAACAACCGGAAAACGCCATTTTATACTGAATACCGGAAAACACCGGAAAAACACTAAATACCGGAAAACACACTAAATACCGGAAAATACCCTAAATAGGTATCCCGGAGACTGGCACCCTAAATAGGTAACCGGGAGCCTGGTCCTCTGTGTGCCTGGGTTAGGGTTAGAGTTAGGGTTAGTTTCCGGTTGATAGTATAGCCCTTCTCCGGGTTACCTATATAGGGTGGTTTCCGGTATTTAGTGTGTTTTCCGGTATTTAGTGTTTTTCCGGTGTTTTCCGGTATTCAGTATAACATGGTGTTTTCCGGTAGTTTTCCGGTTGTTTTCCGGTGTTTTCCGGTATATAGTATGGCCCTTCCATAAACTACATTATTTTCACTAAACATATTATTATTCGTTGGTTTTTAATAATTTAGATAGATAAATAAAAACAAATATATTTTTGGGGATTTGCTTTGTATAAATTATGTTAATGGTGTTTTTTTTCATATGTTTTCTAAAAATAAGAAAAAACGGGTTATAGTGTCAATGATTGAAAACGGTAAATTAAAGATACATTATGGGAGATTAGATAAATAGCTGGCAGTTCTCGCTATAATAGTTAAACTAGATAATGTAAAGGGAATTTGCTGAAAATTTCAGTCAAATTGATCCTCTCTGAACCGAGAATTTAGCAATTGAATTTTCGGCCTAGCCTCGATCATCATTACCGAAAACGGTACGTTAAAAAAGACATAGACTCGATTATCCATATTTTTATTTAATCATGAATGAGCGTTGAGCAGCAGATCGGATTATAATCCAGTAAATATCACAAGCTAGCGATGACACTAAGAGTTGATTATGGTTTGGATAAGTTAATTAATGTCTAATTAATAATTTAGATTCCAGTTAGATTAAAGATTGGGTTTCAGAAATTTTGTATATTATATTTGTATTGTGTGCCGTTATTCATTTTTATCATTTATTTTTATTTTTTAAACATTTTTTTTTTCATATAATATTATATGTATACTAAAACTACAAATTATTTTTATATTTTTCTTTTTTTTTTCATGTAATATTATATGTATACTAAAACTACAAATTATTTTTATATTTTTCTTTTTTTTTTCATGTAATATTATATGTATACTAAAACTACAAATTATTTTTATATTTTTCTTTTTTTTTTCATGTAATATTATATGTATACTAAAACTACAAATTATTTTTATATTTTTCTCGCTTCATTTTGTTTATCGCGTTCTGGTAAATTATATTAAATCACATCGAAAATTCCAGACTAATATTTTAACTGTCATAATTCTGCTTGATAACTAAAGGGCGTAGGTAGAGGGGGGGGGGGGGGCTCTGCTCTTGGAACCTTAAAATATACGAAAATGGGTCTAAAAGCACATATTAATGTACATGTGAATTGTGTTGTAGGATATGTTTTTCTTTGCTCATTACAAATGGCGCCCAAAACCATAGACATATACGACTCGTGTACTGATTTTAAAACGCCCCTTTCTCCCTTATGCCTTAAATATTGGACACTATATCATATCATTGATTGAAATGGACGAATTATTTTAATTTCGTGTTTTATGGTAATATATTGTATGGAAGAGTATCGCTGCGAATATTAAATGCTCTGCGACAATTTTGTTTCCATTGATTATATATAAAAAGTACAATGTACAAAAAGTCCTAATACCGGTAACGATAAAGTCAAAATACCTCTAAGGCAAGTCAGAGTTAAATGTAAAATGTTAAGTGTTAAATGACAAATGTTTTGTGGGAAAATGCTTTTTTTTGATGTTGATGCTGAGCGAAACATGCTATGTAGAAAGAGTGAAGGACAAATGGGATGTGGCAGAGAGCAAATGTAAAATGTAATGAGAGAAATGTAAAATGTTTGTCATTTAACACTTAACATTTGACGTTTAACATTTAACTCTTGCCTTAGAGGTATTTTGACTTAAGCATTACCGGTATTAGGACTTTGTACATTGTACTTTTTACATATAATCAATGGAAAAGACATTGTAGCAGAGCATTTAATATTGGCAGCGATACCCTTCCATAATATTGAGTTCGAAGTTGAGCTCATTTGATCTGCAGTGGGTAGGAAGTCAATACCTTGACTAAGTTCGATGATCATTGTCAATCGGATTGGTCGAAAGTTTGGAACACAATAACTACATGTAAGTGAGTAGAATGCTTGGGTCGACTTTCTGGCTTCTACTTTAGTTATGATGAAATATATATAATGAAGATTCAATTGGGTTCTGTTATTCCAGTATTTTTGGACTATGATTGCATTAGCTAACGTGACACAGATTCCAATAATGTCCGTGTATCCATGCATCAACGACAACGTCAATTTTAAGGACATCGTTTCCCAAAAAATTAATGCCTTGTTGCAACCCGGGGGGGGGGGGGGGGCGAATGGTTAGCACGTGTGCGCTGTATCCTACGTTCTGTCATTGAGTCAACTGGCGGGGTTTCGATTCCCCGGTTGTACGTGACCAGGAGTAGGGTCGCCTGTCCAACTTCGTGTGTTTTCTCCGGGTCCGCCGGTTTCCTCCCACTGCTAAAGACCCCTACGCGCAACCCAGACAGCCACTCAGCTTTGGCCCAAGTATGGCCCACATCCGGCAACATCTGGCTGGATGTGGCCCACATCCAGCCAGATGTTCCCAGATGTGGGCCATAGTCTGGCTAACACTTGGCAACTATTGGCTCACTACTGATGAATTAAACTTATTTTTGTAACTGGTATCTAACAATATCTTGTCAGTTTGTTTAACAGTTTTAAATTTTTTGTTTTATATTCAAAACATTTGAAAAAATAATATTATGCGAAAAGTTTGCCATAATTCTTGGCCAGAGATGGCCCACATCCAACTGGCCAAATGCCTCAAAATATCAACACAATAAATTTCGGCTCAGAATGTCATCTAGTTTCCAGTAGAATTTTCCCTTGTTCTATATTACAAATAAATATAAAAGTCTTAAAATAATATTTTTTTTAATGTACCGGTACTGTATATAATATAAATGGAATTCTCTCACCCCACCCTCCCCCAAAAGCCAGTAAATGTAAATCATTAAAGCAAAAATAATAAATTATTCTTGAAAGAAGTCAATGAAATAAAGACAAAGTTTATTTGAACACAGCCTGAGTGTTGGGTATCATGCTACAAAGTAGTTAGATTTTAATTACTATAGCAGATTCCGTACTCAGATTATACAATTTGTTGAAGCTAGCAGGTCAACCATGTAAATCTTTCAACAAAGCATAATGGACAGCCCGTTTACTATCTTGAAATCTGTTTGATCATTGGCTGAATTTAAAATTGTAAAATTCAGTGTAAAACAACTTAATAGAATTTAGTACTAACAAGAAACTGAAGACATTGCAGTGGTACAAAACTGTGCATTATTTTCACAGAACTTAGTTAAGATAAAAAGATAAGTACATTTTATTACTTTCTCTACAATAATATTAAATTAGATAGATTTATGTGATTTCATTATAAATAACTTCATTTAACTATTCTTTTGCCTTGGCAAATAAGAATTATTTGACTTAATACTTTGGTACTTGCATTGACAGACCCCTTGGCCATGCTTGATATAAAGAAGGAAAAACATGTTTTTTATGTACATTTTTTGCATTTATTGCAGGTGTGGTAAATAACTTCACCACAAGGATGCAATGGAAAATAATTTCAAAAATGTTGTAAACAAAATGGTTGAATGGGGGAAGAACAAAAACACGGGGAAGAGGAGGAGGAGATAGCTGCAGAATGAAGAAGGGGAGAATGATATTGACATGGATAATTTGTATACTTATAACAAACAGTGAAATCTTGTCGAAACGTTGTGTGTATATAATATAGTGACTGTTATCCATACAACTGTGCTGTGTTATATGGATGAATAAATTTATAATTTAAGATTTTGCTTTTGTTGTTAATGTATGTTGTTTGTGCTGCATGCAAGATATCCTTAATTTCTACTATCATTTTGGGACTAACATATGGTTCAACCCTATTTCAATATAGTTCCCAGAGATAACTGACGAAGTTGAACAGGCTACCCTACTTCTTCAGTCCTTGTCACATGCAAGCAGGGATTCGCAACCACGCCACTTGACCGGAAGACCGACCTTTTAATTTCACAAGCAAGTGTTAAACCACTAGACCATGGCCATGCCCCTCGGTTTACGAAGGAGGAATAGGACAGGGAATAACGGGTTGCCCTATTTGGCCCACATCTGGCATGGTATGAATTTCATCTGTAGGCCACATTTGGGCCAGTGATGGCCCAGACAAAGGCCAATTGTGGCATCTCTGGCCCACACGTGGCATGCCATATCTTTGCCAAAGCCTGCCAGCTGTGTGCCAGATCTGGGCCATGCAAGGCGAGCGTGTGCATTAGCGAATCTGGGCCAGATCTGGCTCTGATTGGGCCACGTCTGGCCCATGTCTGCCAGATCTGGCCCACATGTGGCATGCCATATCCGGCCCAATCATTTTGCCACATGTTGCCAGATCTGGGCCAAATATGGTGTGCTGTCTGGGAAGCGAATTATTGAAGTAAACTGAACCATATGTTAGTCCTGAAATAACCTAGTTTGTGTCGAGTTAGCAGATAGACACCGACTGCATGTTTAGAATTTAGAGGACTGTTATTGTCTATTTGATACCGCTTAAATCATTAGCGATCGAGCGCCTCTAATGAAAAATTTAAGCGATATCAAATGGACAATAACAGTCCAATAAATTCTAAACAGGTGTTTATCGATATTGTAGCCCAAAATATTTAACATTTTTCTTGGAATTCTTTCTTTCGCGATAGTTGACGGTCGTTTTTTGGTTTTAATGACGTAAATACCAAGAAAAACAATTTTGACGTAATGAAAATATCCGTGACGTAATAAGATATAACACTCTCTTCCTTCACTCGGCAGATTCCGGTACCCTACATCTATGTAGGGTACTGGAATCTGTTGAGGTTTGCCGATTGTCTCTTCCATTCTATTTGGTTCACTAATTAAGCGGGTAAGCCTTTTTTTCCATCCACTGGAGCCAGGTGTTATGCGCATGCGCTATACTATTACCCACTATTTGACGTCAGACCCCCTCATACGTCACTCTTTTTCTGACTTAATTGCTGTTAAGTATTTGGGGGGGGGGGGGAATTCTTAGTTTTTATAGACTTTTAAATATTTGCTGTTAAGTATTTTTGTGGGTAAATTCATAGTTTTAGATTTTTAAAAGATTGAATTTTAAATAATTATCAACTGTTTCTGTTGTTTTTCTTTTTGTAGGGGGTGGGGGTGGGCTATTTGTAATTTGAATTTTAAACTTGATTTTCTAATATTAAAAATTAATTTTCAAAACTATTTCACAATTTTATAAATTAATTTTCAAAACTATTTCATAATTCCTCATGAAAAACCAGTGTATTAGTAAGCCAGAGGCCTATAACAAAACAGGGAACATTATGTTATTCTAAATCATAGGCCTATATATTTTTTACCAGTGCAATAAGACAGACTTTTCTTATTCAAGAAATTCAAAGATTCAGTTTATTTAGCTGGTGCATTAAATATATCTATTGCAAATATAATGCTTGTATATTCTCAATGATAAAATCTTGCTTTTCTAATATTAGGAAAGGTGTAAAAATACATTCAGATCCTGGCGAAAACATCAGTTAAATTTTATCACGGCAAAATAATAAATTAGATGATCCCCCACCCCCACCCCAAACAAATCAAGACCTACACCAAAAACACCTGCATTACATATCTTGACCCCTGTATTGGCCGATAAAGTTAGTCGTCATTTTCTGACGTGGTTTTCCCTTGTCATTGTTGCAGGATTGGGGGGGGGGGGGGCGGAGCTGACAAGAACAACTGTTTAGTCTTTTAAAGGGGACAAAAAAACGAGGTCCCTTATGCGTGCATGTAAAAGATCCCTTCGCAGTTAGAATTCGATACAAGAATAGGTCATAGTGCCACTGCCCGGCCAAAATTTCCTCATAGCACAGCATATGGCATATGCCCGTCTTTATTAGCTCATTCTAAGCAGAACAGTAGGACGTTAAACCCCATTTCATTTCATTTTATTTGTATTACATTTCTAAAAGTTATTACAATTTATCTCCATAGTCCATACTCCATATGTTAAAAAAACTCCCAAAAAACAAGCCCTCATCCCACCCCTATAGTAACTTTGGTTTGTCTTTATTGGCCTAAAGTATTAAACTTTAAAGATACATTATGTAGTTCAAAAATAGATAATGCAAAATGAAGATATTGAAAATTTTATTCAAATTACTTTATTCAAGTTATCAGTGTTTGTAGTTTTGACAAGATATGTGCATGGCTATAATATACTGGTATATCCAAGACTTGGCCTCGCATCTCCATTTTTAAATTAATCATCAAAATATGACCGAATCTTTCTACCGATAATCTATTTAAAATTGGAGCTATCCGATGGCATAGAGGGTTGGTTATAGTCTTGTCATGTTAACAAATGTCTAATTAATAATATAACATTTAAGGCCTAAAGAAAGACCTGTAATAGGCAGACTTGGCTCTTGATTAATGCCTGTTTAATTAACATTAACAGGTTCTTTGCATTAGTAGGCCTTTAAAAGTCTACAGTATAATACATATTTATGTCGACATTCAAATTAATATATTCTGGAAACCCTCAGTTCTGATATATGCAAAAAGTTCATTCCTATACGTTTACTGGAAAATTTATTATAAAACCCATTTTAAGATTCAATTTTAATTTCTTGAATTATTTATTTATTAAAAAAACTAAAAGCCATACAATAGATAGATCTTTGAAATGAAATAGGAGTTATAAAACTATGAAAAACTTGGTGTTAGAAGTCCAAAAGCCGTAAGGCAGTAAAGGCCTACAATACAATACATGTCACCCAGAACCATTATGTTTGTATGCAAAGTATTCACTCTTATGTAGGTTTAGGGTTAAGATTATATATTTGTAAAAAGATAAACGAATAAGCCCAAATCTGTTTATTGATAAATGTTATAGGCCCATTTGTTTGAAGTTTAATTTTCATATCTTTAATTATTTTTTAAAACAAAAAAAATACAGCCTACTTTTAACCCTATGACGTCAGAGGGTGAGGCATCAATTATTACAACATTTGTCAACATCCCCCTGTAAAGTATTCAGCTTTCTGTCTTATTGTGGGAGCTGTGGTGGCTCAGTGAGTATGACACTGACTCGTTAACCAGAAGGTCTCGGGCTCACTCAGGTCTTGGCCGAGAAAGTTCCTCACGATTTTGTCAGTTGTGCAGGACTGAAGGCCAGTGTGTAGTCGTTCGGATGGTACAAAAAACGAGGTCCTGTGTACCTGTTGCCATGCACGTAAAAGAACCCTTGATAGTTGGAATTTGAAATAAGAGTTGACCATAGTGCCGCTGTCAGGGTCAAATGGCCTCATAGCACACTGTATGGTGTATGTCCGTCTTTATTAGCCCAGTCGGAACAGAACAGTAGGACGTTAAACCCCATTTCATGTTATTTTAAGTTCTATTGTTAGCAACTCATAACAAACAACAGTCAGTGTCTATCTGTATGTCTCCGTCAGAAATGGGATTTCACCCGTATATTCCGGACATGTCCGACGCTATTTTGCAACGTCCTAAATTGTCCGACCAGGAACATGCCCAATCGTACATCAAGACATGGTGAATAATATTCAAAATTCCAAAATTAATATAGTGTACATGTATAGTGTAGTGTATAACTACTACTCAACTCTCAGCCTTTATGATTTTATAGTGGTAGATACATAGTTCTTGAAGAACTTTGCAAGTGAATTCACTTGTCTCATCCCTTTGATGAATTATGATCAATATGCTTAAATTATAGTTCTTGAAAACAGAAAATACATGTCATGTCTTCTGTTGAAGCAAATCTTTAGTCCGACACTGTAATTCTTTTTGTAAACTCTGATCATATGATAAGGCACACGATTGGACAGATTTACAGTTGTCATAGTAACCACCTGATACACCATCTAAATGTGGTGCTATGGCAACAAAGACTACAGAATCACTGGCATTTTTTGGTGTCTGAAATATAATTGAAATACCAGGTACATAAATTTTATCATAAATAATGAGATTGATGCAGATGTGTTAGTACGGTAGAGTTTGTGCCATCCTGATAGAAAAACAACTTTTATTTCAGTCGCATCCCAAAATCGTGTTCCCTGGGGGTGAACCGCATCCCTCACCCCAGCTACACTACAGTACTGATGATTATGTTTTGCTTCCCCCCCCCCACTCTTCTTTTCCGGAGTAAGGACTTTCACCTAGGAAGGACAGATGGCAGTTACTTTAACAATGACCAATCAAATTGAAGTAGGCTAATTAAATATTCACAGATGACAGTGATTGGTGCGGGTGTGTGATAATGACTGTATATGCTAAATTTAATCAAAATCCATTTCACTTGAAAATACTGACCTTCAGGTTGTGCGAGGGGGAAAGAACAGCAATGATTAATTTAATAACTACTTTTACTGGTGGCATATAAAAGCAGTATGGGTTATACACTAGTTCAGGATTGGTGTCACACAGAAGCTATGTAGGCTAGACATTAGTTCAAGACTGGTGTCACACAGAAGCTATGTAGGCTAAACAATAGTTCATGACTTGTGTCACACAGAAGCTATGTGGTCTAGACAATAGTTCAGGACTGGTGTCACACAGGAGCTATGTGGGCTAAACATTAGTTCAAGACTGGTGTCACACAGAAGCTATGTGGGCTAGACAATAGTTCATGACTTGTGTCACACAGAAGCTATCTGGGCTAGACAATAGTTCAGGATTGGTGTCACACAGAAGCTATGTGGGCTAGGTAATAGTTCAGGATTGGTGCCATGAAGTCGTTTTGGACTGGTGCAAAAGAAGCAGTGTGGGCAAGACACAAGTTCAGGACTGGTGCCAAACAAAAGCAGTGTGGGCTGGACACTAGTTTGGTATAGTTTCATAACTCACCTTAAATAAATGTTTAGCAAGGAAAATCATCAACCATTTAATAGACCAGTGAACGTTTCTATAGAGACCGGTGTTAACTATTCCAGGATGTACAGCATTAACAGTAATATGAGAGTTACTGCCCTTGAGCTCTTTATGTAGACTATAAGTGGCTAGTATTATTGCTAGTTTAGACGTAGTGTAGGCATAATGGGGGGAATATTCAAACAATCCATCACATCTGAAAAATACAATATTAACACATCATCAACTGTTTTTGGCCTATTGTTCTTAAGGATTGGGGTGGGTGGGTAGGTGTCCAAATGGTTTAGATCATAAGGTCTGTCATGTATGTGACGAAGAATAGGATTTCCTTCCTAACCATGTGAGTTTTTTCCGGGTTCCTTTCTCTACTAAAAACCCCTACGCGCAAACAAATTATTGAAATAAAATTGAACTATGTGTTAGTACCGAGTGGACGTTAAACTCTCTCTCTCTCATCTCGTGAACATAATTCTACCATCAGTTTTAGACTAACATATGGTTATGTTCATTTCTATGGTTACATGTGCTATCTGTGGGCGAGAATTATTCTCTGACAGCCAGTTACGGTATACTAACGGAAAAGGGTTCTTTGGCTTCTGTTCAGGATTGGGTTGATGAATTGTCCGACAAAGGATTAAGTCAGCCAATCAAGGCAGATTAAGTAGTTAATCAAGGTAGGTGTATAGACGATATAACATGATAAATACGTTGATCACTTAATTACCTAATCAATCCAGCCTATTATCAACAATAATCGAGATGAATATTATTCACCATATCTTGATGTCCGATTGGGCATATTCCTGGTTGGACTTTTGGAAAATACCATAGGACATGTCCGGAATATACTGGCGAAATCGCATCTCTGGTGCATACTGATGTGTACAGGGGTGGCCTTTGATTTTTGTCCTGTCTAAACAACAAGGCACTTTCCTTGTTCCGCCACCCAACTCCCCCAACTGAGGTAAAACATTTACAATCTGTCATTTATCAGATCATTTATATTTTTTGAAATAAAAACAGGTCATTTGAGAACCAGAATACATGTTTTATATGGCCACACCATTCTTACTTGGAAATCAGTTTATCTAAATTCTTTCCTCCAAACACATGAGCTGCTGATGAAACATTTACTATACGACTAGTATAATCTGGACTACTTGATGATTCAAGTTTATCCAGTAATAATGATGTAAAATAAAAATGACTCAGATAGTTGACTTGAAATTGTTCTTCAAAACCATCGGTGGTTAATGTATATGGTGTTAACATAACACCAGCTGAAATATACAATACACAATAACAGAATGAACAACTTGCCAAATGAAATGAGAGAGAGAGAGGGAGAAATGGTATTTAAATCCACTCGACACAAACTAGGTCATTTCGGGACTAACATATGGTTCTATTTTATTGCAATAATTCGCTTGTGCGTAGGGGTCTTTAGCAGTTGGAGGAGGAAACCGGAGGACCCGGAGAAAACCCATGAGGTTGGATAGGTGACACAACCTCTTGTCACATACAACCAGGGAATCGAAATCACACCATATGAATCAATGACATACCTTATGGTGCAACGCCCACGCGCTAACCATTCAACCATCCAACCCCCACCTCCAAATGAAATGAAATGAAATGGGGTTTAATGTCCTACGCCAACTGGGCTAATGAAGACCAACGTACGCCATACAGTGTGTTATAAGAGGAATTGTTCCCAGACTGGCATTATGGTCTACCCGTATATCGAATTCCAACTGCCAAGGGATCTTTTACATGCGGCCAATGTATACACAGGACCTCGGTTTTCCATCCCATCTGAATAACTATACAGCTGTTCTTGTCAGGCCCTCCATCCTGCACCACTGACAAGGGGAAACTACGACAGAAAATCCTGATGAATTTTCTCGGCCAATGCTGTTCCTTGCCAGACAGTCTGTCCGAAACCAAGCACAAATGAAATTTGAAACCATATCGGATCCGGAGGAGCTATGTCGGCCAACAACAGGATCAAATGAGGAACCTCAAGGTCAACGAGCCAGCATCTTACTCACTGAGCCACCACACTCCCATTTTAAATTAAATTAACTAAGTGTTGATACAAGTCAGTTTATATACACAATTCTATAGAATATAATTACGCCTTATTACTTGATAAATATTACAGAAGCCTCAGTAATAAACTGTGACCTGTGTATTTACATTTATATTACTAATACCATCAATCTGATTAAAACACAGATCCTATTTCATTTCGTTTCATTTTTTATAGTTCAAAATTTTGTTTTACTTGTCGTTACTACACTAGGATCTGGAAGAGTTGGTATATAACTCACGTTCTGGTTGATGTGAGTGATTAGCCAATGAAACTGTTTATTATGGCAAGTTCTTGGCGTACAGAACTGTGGGTATCCCACCAGAAACATCAACGTTGATTAGTTAATCAAATGTCTGCTCATATTCCTCAACACATAATACCTGAGTCGTGTTTGCCATAGATAAAGAAATACTTTACCATTATTTATAAGAATATGTAGTGGTCTTCTATATTCCAGGAATTCATTCACGCAATCTTTTACTGATTTTAAGCTTCTTAAATCTACTGCTATATGGTAAACTGTAAAATATATCAATAGACATAGCTTGTGTTAAATATATAATAACACTACCAAATACACCAGGATAATAATAAGGTAGGTTTTACTTATCTTGTAGTGTAGCAAGACAGGTTGTACCCACCTTGTGATGTGGTAAGATAAGTGGTACCCACCTTGTGATGTAGTAAGACAAGTTGTACCCACCTTGTGATGTAGTTAGACAAGTTGTACCCACCATGTGATGTAGTAAGACAAGTTGTACCCACCTTGTGATGTAGTAAGACAAGTTGTACCCACCTTGTGATGTAGTTAGACAAGTTGTACCCACCTTGTGATGTAGTTAGACAAGTTGTACCCACCCTGTGATGTAGTAAGACAAGTTGAACCCACCTTGTGATGTAGTTAGACAAGTTGTACCCACCCTGTGATGTAGTAAGACAAGTTGAACCCACCTTGTGATGTAGTTAGACAAGTTGTACCCACCCTGTGATGTAGTAAGACAAGTTGAACCCACCTTGTGATGTAGTTAGACAAGTTGTACCCACCCTGTGATGTAGTAAGACAAGTTGAACCCACCTTGTGATGTAGTTAGACAAGTTGTACCCACCCTGTGATGTAGTAAGACAAGTTGAACCCACCTTGTGATGTAGTTAGACAAGTTGTACCCACCTTGTGATGAAGGATAATCATATTTCAATTCATTGATTATTTTCTCTGCTTTTGATTTATTCATTGATGCTAAAAAATAAACAAAGAAATATATTTGATCTAGGGTATCCTATTGCCCATGGTGACTGTAAGTAGCTTTCCAACTGTCAAGGGATCTTTTACATGCACATCAATGTGTACATGGGACCTCGGTTTTTCATATCATCTGCACAACCAGGCATACATTATCCATTGCCAGGCCCTACGTCCTGCACCACTGACATGGGGGAACCACCCTGGAAATTCCCGAAGAACTTTCTCAGGGATCGAACACGGGATCTCCAAGTTAGTGATCAATACTATATATCATACCCTACATGTAGGCCCTACCTATAAACACAGTCACATTTTTAGATATCAATTTCCGAACAACTTCTAATCCAATTCCCTCGGTGCCTCCTGTAACCATGGCAATTAGACCTGTACTGTCAGGAAGCTCTTTATCTGAAATAGAGAACAAGAAGAAAAGGTTAAAGTAAAAGATGGCCTCCCCTAAACATTATTTTAGTCTACCCTGAAATCAAGTTGAATTGTAAGATATCATTTATAAGTAGCTATTATTAACTTCTTAACAGCCCCAAATCGCGATTTACTAGGGCTAATTTGGTTGGAACTAAAGCAAGTCATAGTAATTAGTATTAATGGGCACTGAACATTTATTAAAAATTGTCTGCAACTCTTGATGTATAGAATATAATCTAGGATAGTGTATTTATTTTTATATTTGACTTAATATTATCAGGTCTACTTTAGGAGTAAGTCTACTATATTGTGTATGAGGCGTCATCCTTTGATTTTTCCAAAGCGGAAAAATTTCCTTTTGGATAAAAAGTCCACGACGACGGTACGATCCATATCTTCTATATCATTATCGGGGGATGGATGACCGAATGCATGGTTAGCACATGCCCGCTGTATCATAAGGCCTGTCATTGAGTCAACTGGCGTGGTTTCGAATCCCCGGTTGTACGTGACAAGGAGTAGGGTTGCCTGTCCAGCCTCGTGGGTTTTCTCCGGGTCCTAGGGTTTCGTCCCACTGCTAAAGACCCATATGCCCAAGAGAATTATTGAAATAGAATTAAATCATATGTTAGTCCCGAAATGACCTAGTCTGTGTCGAGTGGACGTCAAACCCCATTTCTCTCTCTCTCTAAATCATTATCCAGGGGCGGATCCAGGAATTTTTGCAGGAGGGGGTTTGCTAGGTTCCTGAGACAATGTATCTCCCCCCCCTCTCGCATGGTCTATATACATGGTCTATATCATCATTTTGGCGTATATACATACACATTGAGCTTTTTAAACAGAGAAATTCAACATCTCGTTTGACGTCAATTTTTATTATGAATTAATACAATGACATTGTGAATCAATTTCATGGATGCAAAGCATTAATTGTGATATCACATAATGTCTATATCATTATCTCGTGCTTTGAGTGCCCATCCTGTCCCACATCTGACGATAAAGGATAAACCACACGACCGATCTAAACTTTTCTCATAAAAAGTGTTGATTTACAATTTTTTTTATGTAGCTGAGCAGGGAGGAGGGGGGGGGGGTCGACTCCCCTCTGGATCCGCCCCTGTTATCATACTGCTATCGTTGACACCCTAGCTATACATCACGAGATATAAAACCTATATTTGACAGTCATTTAAACTACAAGACTGTGTATTTACCTGACGGTGAATAATGACCCTGTACCATTTCTCTGATCAGAATATAAACACCTATTATATACATCTGTATAAAACACCATATTAACTCAAACAACAATACAAGTCGTCTCATCTTCGTGGGTGTCGTGATGGACGCGCATTTACATTGTGCAGGGGAAATAACTCCATTTAACACATCAGACCTCAGACCACTAGTTCCTTCCCCATTGGGTAAATTTGAGTAGTGTGTAGGCTGATAATGAGGTAAAGGTATCTGCATTTGCTTAAATGCCTTAATTTATATTTGTGTGAAAATGTTGTGGGGCACCCGATTTTTTGTTACCAAAAGGTGGGGCATGGGAAAAATAAGTTGGGTAACACTGGTCTAGCACAGAGCCTCATGATCTAGGGGGCCTCCAGCAAAGGTAAATATATTTATAATACGTTTTACCCTGTCATAGGGTCTTAGCTTTTCTTACACACACTATAGTCTTAAACATCTGTCATCACCCTCAGCTTTCTTTATTTATGTTTAAACACACTTTCATCTTCCTCTGATTGTGAGGGATTGGGAGGGGTCTTATAACTGGCTCTGGTCGTGAGGGTGTGGGATTGGGAGGGGTCTTATAACTGGCTCTGGTCGTGAGGGTGTGGGATTGGGAGGGGTCTTATAAGTGGTTCTGGTTGTGTGGGTGTGGGATTGGGAGGGGTCTTATAAGTGGTTCTGGTCGTGTGGGATTGGGAAGGGTCTTATAAGTGGTTCTGGTTGTGAGGGTGTGAGATTAGGCGGGGTCTCGTAAGTGGAATTGTCTACTGCCTCTCTTCAACTAAATCTGACACTGCCATTAAGATTTTTTTGAACAATCTGTTGAGCTTAATCTTTATAACCTCAAAGAGCCCAGCATGTCCACAATCATCTAATACAAATATTGAAAGGAGGTGACCATTTCCATTTTATGCTAGGCCTGGTGAAAGAAAATCTCTAGGCAAGGCAGTGACTTCATTTTAGTAGGTGATTACCCCAATTCATGAATATTTACCAAAACCCTGGAGGAGAATTGAACTTCAAACACCCTTCTTCGATTCTAGACAAAATTTGCCATGCAAAAGTGGGGAAAATGGAGAAAGAGAGAATTGCTTACTAGTCTTAGTCCGTATATAGTTCGAAGGTTTCTATGCAGATTTGGTAACTGATACATGTATGCTAAAACGAATGTCCAAGCTTAATTTAGAAATTCAATCTAATAAAACACTAGATATATTTCACTTCTATAATGTTGTGGTAGTTATACACCCTGGGGGTTGGACAGTTGAGGCAGGCCCACTGCCCCACCCACTACGTCAAATATGATATTCAGGCAATGGTTAAACACATTTTAGACATTAGACATCAAATTCAAAGTAGAATCTTACAGACTTATTAATATTCCAATCCATTACACCAAGGATCCCACTTTGAAAATAATCTGAAAGTAACATTTTGGTAGGCCTACGTTGGCTAAATGGATGCAGTCTAGTGATATCTGGTGTATACATTGGCATGCTCGTAAAAGATCTCTAGGACAGTTGGAATTCGATATAAGAGTAGGTCGCAGCGCCGCTGTCCGGGCAAAATTTCCCGCATTATACACTGTATGGTGTATTCCCGTCTTCATTAGCCCAATCAGAGCTGAACAGTAGGATGTTTTAAACCCGATTTCATTTCCCTTGATTGACAATATCCACCTTATGATGTCATACTGAATAACTTCAACTGAATAAAATGACCAGTAGATAGGGGTTTTAATAATTTATTACTACATGTATATCAATATTTGTGTATAAAATAATAATATAATATGATACAGTCGGTTATATACAAATATAATATACACTATTGACTTTAAACATACATTATATATATATATATATGGGCTAAATTATCTGCATGTTGCAGGTCTTTTTTCTGGCTTCAAATATTATATAAACTATGATTTAGACATTTATTAACATGACAAGCCCATAATTCACTCTGTAGGCCACTGGATTGCTGAGATACTGAGTGGATTAGACAATGCCCACCATATGAGTTAAACGGTTATATGACAGCCAAACCAAAATTATCCAAACATGCAGACTGATAAAGCTCTTGACCATCGAGTGATACACAGCTTTCTATTCTTATATATTAAAAGTCTTTTCTGGATAAAAAGTCATGAGAATTTAAGACAAATTTAACTGCATTCCCTGTCTCGAGCCAGTTAGCGGTAGACTTCTAACTTTGCTCAGAATAAAGTAATTTTTACTTTCATTTTTTATATTGGAACTATTATAGCAAAAACTGCCAGCTCTTTATCGAAGTCTTATGTTATATTGCATTAATAAAGTAATTCTACATTCTAACTAGACGAGGGCCATTTTACATGAAGCATATAAGTATCACCTTAGATTATATATAGCTGATTTACATGCAACATGGAGTCAACTCTTTTAATGGCTGCCAAACAGAGCAAGTTGAATTTACATGATTCAATGATTTAATTCACAAAATGGACGGCAACAAATATCACATATTATATTCACTATGGCAACAATAAAAATATACAAAAAGTCATCTCCAAGAAGAATTCTGCGTCAATTGTTTGCAATTCTACCAATTTGGGACGTTCCCGACTGACATTCAAGCATCCCCTTGGTATCAACCAAGATGAGGTAACTCTATCTATACTAGTATAAAACAAGATGGGTAACTCTATCTATACTAGTATAAAACAAGATTGAGGAAACTCTAACTATACACCTTATTTTGTCATGAAACAGAACAGGAGTAATTTTTTGTTCTACAGTATATCTCCAATAAGTCTAGAAATGTACAAACTTGTCCCAAGGTATATTTTATATATAGTAACAGAATTGGATATAGAAATTAAAGGTGGGGTAGGGGGCTAGGGCAGAATTTCTAGAGATAACAACAATTTATGTAGTTGAAGTGGAATGATTCAGCCATCAGGATAAGGTATGGATAATTCACCAGACAAGGGGTGAGATAAGGTATGGACAATAATTTAAGGGGTGAGACAATAAAAGATAGAGAATGAGGAAAGGGGAGGATCAGGTTACATCATGTACTAGAGACACCCTATACTATAGAATAAGGGAGGGTGGAGATGGGTGTCTATCATGTACCGTACTAGAGACACTAGAGTAAGGGAGGGTGGAGATGGGCGTACAGTACTAGAGACACTAGAATAAGGGAGGGTGGAGATGGGCGTACGGTACTAGAGACACTAGAATAAGGGAGGGTGGAGATGGGCGTTCGGTACAAGAGACACTAGAATAAGGGAGGGTGGAGATGGGCGTTCGGTACAAGAGACACTAGAATAAGGGAGGGTGGAGATGAGCGTACGGTACTAGAGACACTAGAATAAGGGAGGGTGGAGATGGGCGTACGGTACTAGAGACACTAGAATAAGGGAGGGTGGAGATGGGCATACGGTACTAGAGACACTAGAATAAGGGAGGGTGGAGACGGGCGTTCGGTACAAGAGACACTAGAATAAGGGAGGGTGGAGATGGGCGTACGGTACTAGAGACACTAGAATAAGGGAGGGTGGAGATGGGCGTATGGTACTAGAGACACTAGAATAAGGGAGGGTGGAGATGGGCGTTCGGTACAAGAGACACTAGAATAAGGGAGGGTGGAGATGAGTGTATGGTACTAGAATAACAGAAGGTGGAGGAATCATGTTCCATCATGTACTAGAGGTACCATATACTTTAGAATATTTGTTGTTTCTTCCCTGATTTTTCTCGTGCAATCTTTGGTGCCAGTTGTCTGTTTTTCCACCGGTCTGTAAACATAGAAAATCAATAAAACCATTTTAAACATTAAACATACATTATGCAAAGAGCTAAATCTACTAAATCTGTTTATTGCAGGTCTTTCTTTAGGCCTGAAATGTTGTCTAAATTATTAATTAGACATTTATTAACATGACAAGACCATAATCAACTCTCGATGTCATCGCTAGCCTGCGATGTTTACTGGATTAGGATACCATTTGCTGCTCCACCTTCATTCTTGATTTATTCATGTTAGACTATGTTTTTTATAGTACCGACTTTAGTAATGACAATCGAGGCTAGGCCGAAAATTCAATCGCTAAATGCTCTGTTCAGAGTGGATCAATTTGACTGAAATTTTCAGCAAATCCCCTTTAGACTATCTAGTTTTTAACTATTATAGTGAGAACTGCCAGCTGTTTATCTAATCTCCCATAATGTATCTTTAAGACACCCATTGACTGTATATTTATAGTAAAATTTAACTGTATCACAGTATTCTTCCCTGGTTCCTCCACTGCAACTACGATTGTACATCAATCAGGTCAGTAACTACCCTTGTAATTGGGATTTATGATCAGGTCCCACTCAACAATCTCACCATCACCTTTGTTCCAGTAGGGAGAGAGAGAGAAATGGGGTTTAACGTCTTCTCGACACAAACTAGGTCATTTAGGAACTAACACATGGTACAGTTTCATTTCAATATTTCGCCTGCATATAGGGGTCTTTTGCAGTGGGAGAAAATTGGAGGACCTGGAGATAACCCACGAGGTTGGACAGGCGACCCTACTCCTTGTCACGTACAACCGAGGAATCGAAACCACTGCAGTTGACTCAATGACAGACCTCATGATACAACGAGCATGTGCTAACTATTCGTCTACCCCCCCCCCCCCATTGCACTATGGTATTAAGCTTAGACCTGTGTTAAGATGATTTGTTACCTACTTGACAAGAAAAATCAAACTTACAAAAGTGATAGCACCAGGTTTCTCGACTTCAGCTTCTTCCAAGTTTTCAAAATTCTTCCGGCTAAAAACTGGAGATTTGGGTTTACCTGTTGTTAGGGACTGAGATTTCTTGTCACCATGGCGACGAGTTGATAGATTTAAAACAACCTGCTTCATTACGGCCATTTCCTGTTTTAACAAAACAATGAACATCTAATTGTACTGTATTCATGTTCTATTGGACTATATTTTCTCAATTTGATTTGTTTTTTGTTTTTTTTTTGTTTCGTTTTTTATAGTTCAAAATTTTGTTTTACTTGTCTTTACTACACTAGGATCTGTAAGAGTTGTTAGCATTGATGCGTTCTGGATGATGTAAGGGATTAGCCAATGAACTGTGGGTAACCCACTAGAAACATCAACGCTGATTGGCTAATCTATATTTTGTTTTGGTTTTTATACTTAGATGGCCTACACTACATGAAGATCTGACCAGTTGTACTTGGAGGTTCCATCAGGGGTCATACGAGCAGCTTTTGACCCTATGACGCCAGATATAGATTAATCAATCAGCGTTGACATTTCAAGTGGTTTACCCACAGTTCTGTGCACAGCACACCAAGAACTCGTTGTAACAGACCGGTTCATTGACTAATTCCTCACATCATCCAGAACGCAGATTATATACCAACTCTTCCAGATCCTATTGTTGTGACAAGTAAAACGGAATTTTGAACTATAAAAAACAAAATGAAATAGGATCTGTGTTTTAATCAAATTGGTTTCCAACATAACATAACATAACAGGTTTCATGTTTGGGCAGATGGAGTACTCTGAACAAAGGGAATCGCACCCTTTTTAATCTTATTTTATTCTAATTTTATTTTTTGTCACTAACCTCTTTTTGGTTTAATAATCTCTCTAAATCTAGCGCCATCTGATTTTTAGTTTTCACCACAGCATTTCTCTCTTTCTCGACTTCCCTATAAATAAATAATCAATTAATACAAGGTCAATTTATGAATACAGTGGACTCTGGCACTTCCGACATCGTACAGGATCGATACAATATGCCGGATAATAGAAGTAGGACGTGTTTTAATCTCATCGATAATAGATTGGTGATTCCATGTCAGTTCCCACCCAATGCAGGCCGGATCATCCAATGTTTGATGTCGTAATTTGGAATATTCAGAATATAGATTACTCAAAACTTTTTTGGTTGAAGTAATAAAGAAATACATCGGGACATGAAAATGATAATGGATTTCACAGAATGCCGTAGTATTCAGATGTCAGAAGTGACAGTGTCCACTGTACAAGGTCAATCTACAAAAACTAGAAAAAAGAAGAAAACTGAAATATGTTTTACGTTTAACCGTTTGGCTTCCCATAGTCAATCCACAAACAAAAATTCTCTATTTTATATATATTTAGTGCACAATTCTTGTTCATCCGACAGTATTAATCTACTTAAAAACAGCTCTCGACATGTGAGTACATTGCGTAATGAATGCTACGTTGATGATTGGCTGAAATGATCTTCTGATAGAATGGAACAAATCTCTCTATTTTTTTTTTTTCGATAAAACCAAATGGATACATCATCAGGTTACAGGTTCAAACATTTTGTCACGAGTATGAGTGTAATAAAATATATACGTACCTGATGTCTTCCTCCATTTTTCTAATATGTTGTTTTTGTTGGTTTAAAGTTTGATCTCTAACACGTATACTGTCGATAAGATAATTATACGGTTGTTCGGCGTGGTTTAATAATTCATTACTACTCTTTATCTATAATATAAATATAACAGCTACATGATAGTATACTGTCGATAAGATAATTCGGCATGGTTCAATAATTCTTTACTACTCTTTATCTATAATATAAATATAACAGCTACATGATAGTATACTGTCGATAAGATAATTCGGCATGGTTCAATAATTCTTTACTACTCTTTATCTATAATATAAATATAACAGCTACATGATAGTATACTGTCGATAAGATAATTATACGGTTGTTCGGCGTGGTTTAATAATTCATTACTACTCTTTATCTATAATATAAATATAACAGCTACATGATAGTATACTGTCGATAAGATAATTCGGCATGGTTCAATAATTCATTACTACTCCTTATCTATAAGGGAATCATGGTGGCTTAATATCTAAAACTCGGGCTCACAAACCAATAGATCTGTTTGTTTGATAGCCAATGTTTCAACACAACAAGACCCCAAATAATAACATAAAACCAGTAGCAATCCATATCCACTACGCTTCTTGCAAACGAGTTGGTATCTAAAAAGGTGGGGATGAGGTCCGAGAACGCAGCAGTAAATGATGCAAATATGTGAATAGTAGACAAATTTAAAGATACATTCCTGTGAACAAACTGGGTGATTTGATGATATATTTGGCCTAAAAACATATTCAAACTAATTAATTTATCATAAATTTGCTTCAAATCCTTCTCAAACATTATAATTGTCAAGGAATACTCATGCTATAAAAAATTGATTGACATTGTTGTCCTGTATACGCTCCATGAGTGTTATTCAGGGAATCCAGTATTTTTCTAGTAAGATTGGATGTTTCTACTTTCCATATATACCATAAATTGCCATACTTTTATTGGAAATAACCACCCAATAAATACTTTTCTGGGAACCTATCTTTAAGTTAAGTTTTAATTGTATTCGATTGTAATTGTGATGCATATTCTGTAAATATTTGTCTACTATTCACATACCTGTATCATTTACTTGATAAAGACATGAGTATCCTGGTCGAAACGTCGCTTAGTATCGAACTCAGTAATTATGTATCCATAAAATTGTACCTTGTGTTAATATATTCAATTACTAAATACCAATCAAAGAAGTTATTTTCCATTGATTTCTTAATTCTGATTTCCATAATGAAATTGTTTAAAATGTTTCAATACATAAACAGATATCACAATACGTTACGTATCAATTTACGAGAGGGGTTCACTAGTCCGCAGGTTCTCTAGTCCCCCGCTATAAATATGGTTATCAAAAAACATAATCCAAACCCTAACCCTAACAATAGATATCGGTGGACTAATGAACCCGCGGACAAGTGAGCATTCCCCAATTTACATAGGGTTAAAAACAAAGGGAATTGAAATGAAATGAGGTTTAACGTCCTACTGTTCTACTCTGACTGGGCTAATGGAGACGGGGGGAAAACAAGGGGAATGTCTAACTGCAAGTGTTGGATATCTCCTATAAATGTTTATCTATCAATTTTACCTCATCAGCTAATTCTTGTGTTCGTGTTTTTTCTCGATTTATTTCTTGTCGTAACGATGTGTTGGCTTTCTCAAGTTGTATAACTCTTCTGGCTAGATGTACGCTACAAATATAAACAACATCAAAATTAACACTGTGATAATTGAGATTAGTTAAAACTACACCCTACTGTACAATGAAGAGAGAAGAGAGAGAAATAGGGTTTAACGCTCATTCAAGATGAACTAGGTCATTTGGGGATTTAAATTTTATTACAGTTAGAGAGAGTGAGAGAGAAATGGGGTTTAACTTCTACTCGACACAAATTAGGTCAATTCGGGACTAACATATGGTTTAATTTTATTTACATAATTCGCTTGCGCGTAGGGGTCTTTAGCAGTGGGAGGAAACCGGTGGACCTGGAGAAAACCCACGAGGTTGAACAGGCGACCCTACTCCTTGTCACGTACAACCCGGGATTCAAAACCACACAAGTTGACTCAATGACAGGTCTTATGATACAGTGCACACGTCCTAAACATTCGGCCATCCACCCCCGCCCCCATTTTATTACAACCATTTGCTTGAACGTAGGGTCTTTTAGTAGTCGGAGGAAGAGGACCAAACCCATGAGGTAGTCAACCGTACTTCTTGTCACGTACAAGTGGGGTCGAACCCAAGCTTCTTGATTCAATGACGACAGGCTTTCTGACAAGTGGAAATCACGCCGGAAATTTTTAAGGCGAATTAAAATGAAAAAGATTAGTTTGTGTTGCTTATATTACCTCTGTTGTAGTCGTCTTTTTGAGTTGCTGGGAACATTCGCACCGTAACCATAGGAAAATAAAACTTTCTCTGCATCGGCCTCATTTTCAACTAAAATTAATACCATAAAAATACATCAATATTTAGATCTAGTGATAATCCGGAGGACCCAGAGAAAACCCAGGCGACAGACGACCCTATTCCTTGTCACTTACAAGCGGGAATCAACACCACGCCACTTGACTCAATGGCAGATGTTGTGATTTCACGCTCACCACCCAACGCCTCCCTCCCAAGACTTCCCTCATAACCCTAGCACTATCATTGGTTGAGATATGAATTGACTAAGAAGTTGTTGTATGGAGTAAATTTACCTTCTGCAGCCTGCATGACAACATCATCCAATTCCTGTTCAAGACGTTCGTACGTCTGTAATTTGGCGGTTTTATCAGATATCTCGGCTTCGAGACCAACAAGTTTATTCTCTAAGGCTGTTTGTAAATGGTAATATTCTTTTGTTAAAACCTGCAAGATATTGAATATAAAATCTTAAACCATATAGTATAGTTTCATAACAAACTTGTAAATGGATGCTCTTTTTTTTTTGTCCCATCCAAATGACAAGGCACTTTTCCTTGCTAGGTCTCTCTCTGGCACCAATGAAAGACTGGAAAATATTAAGGAATTTTCCCAGCCATGGTTAGTAAGTAAAATTAGGTTTAACGTCCTACTCCGACTGGGCTAATGAAGACAGGCATACACCATACAGTGTGCTATGACAGAGATTTTGCGCTACAAGCTACTCTTATATTGCATTTTAACTGCCAAGGGTTCTTTTACGTGCATACAAGAGTACAGAGGACCTCAGTTTACCGTCCCAACCGAATGACTATATGTCCCTTGCCTGGTCTGTCCTGCACCACTGACAAGAGGGAACCACGCTGACAAATAAACACAAGACAGGAATATACAAACTGTGAGAGAAACTAGTTCAGTTAATGAATACACGGAATGATCATTGATATAATAAACTACCACGCCCACAAAATATCAATACATATGATGAATATCTGGAATGAACACACTGATATAACAAACTACCAGGCCCACAAAATATCTAAAACAATACCTCATTTTTCTTCTGCATTTTTTCCATATCAATCTGAGTCTCTTTTAAATTCTTCATGGCTTCTTCATAAACCATCTGAGCTCGTTCATATTCAAATGTTTTTATTTTTAAATCGTTTTGTATTTCAACTACTCTACTGTCTCCGGCCATCTGTAACTGTCGAAATCTACAATAATTAATAAAATAAGACATTAACATGAGACCAAATCTAGAAACCAAACATTGATGTAATCTACATTAATTAATAAATTAGAGCGAGAGAGATATGGGGTTTAATGTCCACTCGACACAAACTAGGTCATTTCGGGACTAACATATGGTTTAATTTTATTTCAATAATTCACTTGCGCGTAGGGGTCTTTAGCAGTGGGAGGAAACCGGAGGACCCGGAGAAAACCCACGAGGTTGGACAGGCGACCCTATTCCTTGTCACGTACAACCGGGGAATCGAAACCACGCCAGTTGACTCAATGACAGACTGTATGGTACAGCACGCACATGCTAACCATTCAGCCATCCAACCCCCCTAATAAATTAGAACACATCCCTGACCAAATCTAAAATAATTGGTTAGCGCATGCGTGTTGTATCATAAAGTCTGCCATTGAGTCAACTGATGTTATTTCGATTTCCTGGTTGTACGTGACAAGGATTAAGGTCGCCTGTCTAACCTCGTGGGTTTTCTCCGGGTCCTCCGGTTTCCTTCCACTACTAAAGACACTTGGGCGCAAGGAAGTGTATAAAGTATCTGGAATTGAGATTCTACAGTGGGTAATAAAAAATATGATCAACAAAAAAAATGTTAAACCTACTCGTTTAAAAGTTGTTCGTATTTTGTTGTTGTTTCCCGTTCTGTCGCTTGCATCTTTTCTTTCTCAGATATTGCCATATCTCGAGCTTCTCGTAAATTTCTACAGAATAAAAACATATTTATAAAATTAACGAATCATTATGTCAGAGCTAGATCTGTCTATTGCAGGTCTTTATTTTTGCTTCACGTGTTCTATAAATTATTATTAAAACATTTATTAACACGACAAGTCTATAATCAACTCCCTGGGTCAACGGATGGCTCCGATTTTGAGCAGATTAGAAAGCTATGGCCATCTAATCTAAAGAGGGCAAAGTGAGGCTAAGGCTCCAATAAACAGTGCCATTGTTACGATAATAAACATAAATGAAATGGGGGTTTAACATCCTAATGTCCTGTTCTGATTGGGTTAATGAAGACGGGCATACGCCATGTAGTGTGATGAGGGAAATTTGCTTGGACAGTGGCGCAATGGCCTACTCTTATATCGAATTCCAACTGTCAAGGGTTCTTATACGTGCACGCCAATGAGGTACATGGTACCTTTTTTTTGTCCCATCCGAACGACTATACATTTCCATTCACAAAGGTAATTTGTTCTAAAGTGAACTACATCAACATCAACATAATACAGCCATTTTTTCTGGTAATAATGGTAGTAAGTAATAATGGTAATAACTCACCTATTCTCTCGTTCATACATCTCTTTTGTTGATGTTCGAAGTCGATCGATCTCCGCATTAGTTTTTATTCGTATATTGTCTAATTCTTCCTGTAGTTTGTTTTCATATTCACGCTTATATTCATCACTGTAAAAAAAATTCGAAAAATATCATCTTATCAACAATTTACAGTATCTTAAAGATGGGTTCCCAGAAAAGTATTTATCGGGTGGTTATTTCCAATAAAAGTATGGTATTTTGGTATATATGGAATGTAGAGATATCCAATCTTACTAGAAAAATACTGGATTCCCTGAAAAACACTCATGGAGCGTATACAGGACAAAAATGTAAGGGTTCCCCTAATCAACAGCCCGACGATTAGGAACTTCTGCACGCGTAATGTCAAAAGTCAAACGCGAACATTGAGCGCATGATGTACAAGTTGATAAACATTATGAAGAGTTAGACGTACAATACTTTCTGAGATAAAAAAGACGCGGGTAGTGGATAATCCGAGAATTTAATTAGGATTCGATATTTGTAATAAATAGTAAGCGATTAAAGACAACATCATCTTATGTATGCAATGAATTCTCCTCTGACTCCCAAGACGTGACGTAAACATGACCTGATTTGATCGAATTTTAATACAAGGGCATTCCTTTGCAATTACAATGTTTGAGAAGGATTTGAAGCAAAATTATGACAAATTAATTAGTTTGAATATGTTTTTGGTCCATATATACCATTAAATCACCCAGTTTGTACGTGGGAAACCATCATTAAACACTTTACATCAGATCTTAAACATTTTACATTAGATCTTAGACATTTTACATCAGATCTTAGACATTTTACATCAGATCTTAAACATTTTACATCAGATCTTAGACATTTTACATCAGATCTTAAACATTTTACATCAGATCTTATGGATCTTAAACATTTTACATCAGATCTTATGGATCTTAAACATTTTACATCAGATCTCAAAGTTTTTACATCGGATCTTACAGATCTTGAACATTTTATATCAGATCTTAAACACTTTACATCAGATCTTAAAGGAGCTAAATCTTTATTCTTTAGCACCTCGAAATTGACATAAATGGGTCACATCACATACAATAATTTAATATGAATGTATATAAACTGATTTACATTCAATCGTTTCTGTAATTTCTAATCAGTTACGTTTGACACAATACGCAAAGAGTCTGAATTGAATGGCAGTCTTTGGCGCCTGGTTATTGCAGTCTACATTGGATGTGTTTAGCCTCGTTCATCAAGTTATTTCATACAACTGACACACGAAAGCATTCTGGCATGCAATTCATGTGGCAATTTTAAAATATTCATTTTGTCCTAACCACATGACATGAACAAAAAACAGGATAATAAAAAATAAATTTAGGAAACTTACCGGGAAGTGACATATTTATCGTACATTTCTTCGCGAGCCCGTTTTGCGTCTTCTAATTGTCGATTTAACTGTTCTAACTTCTCCTCGGTGTACGATGATTTATTACTCACATCACAAATCTGACGACTTAAATAATCTTTATCTTGTTTTATTAAAGCTAACGATTGCCTCGTGGTTGATAACTGAAAATATGTGAGGAATTAATAAGAGAGAGAGACACACATGCGTTGAGATACTCGAACCTTTTCGAAAACATGCAATACATACTTTGTATCTATTTTCCTTGTGTGATAGCGCGTCTTTCAGCATATCTGACAGTTGTCATTAAAATTAAATACTTGAGCTTGTTATTATACACAGGGTAATATGTATAAAATGTAATACTGCAAACAATTATGTATGAGTTGGGTCAGCCAGGAAACTTTTGTGATACTCAGGCAAGCCAGGAAACTTTTATATTTACCCGGTGAAGAAGCTATTTTTGGAGAGCAGATTCCGCACCTATATATAGACCGCGCCTAGCTGTAGCTCTCATTTGACACTAAAGGTGAACGGGATGCGGGGGGTACCTCTCAAAAAAGTTTCTGATATCAACCCTACAGTTTTTCAGTTTGGGAAAATCTTCTGATATCATCTCCCCAAAGGGTGGATTGGGCGGTTACCGACCAATCCACCCTTTGGGGAGTTGATATCAGAAAATTTTCTGAACGGTGCCCCCTGTTTCTAAAGGGCTCATTCGATTTTTTTTGTTTATACCATTTTTTGAAGCCACCCATGTATCCTTCAAGAATATATAAACATTACTCGGTGAACTTTTTTTTTAACCCTGTGAGTATCTCAACGCATGTGTGGAGAGAAATGAGATTTAACGTCCACTTGACACAAACTAGGTCATTTCGGGACTAACATGGTTCAATTTTATTTCAATAATTCGATTGTGTGTAGGGGTCTTTAGCAGTGGATGGAAATCGGAAGACCCGGAGAAAACCCACGAGGTTGGACAGGCAATCCTACTCCTTGTCACGTACAACCGCTAAATCGAAACCATGAGGAATTAATAAATAGCTGATGTGAATAAATGTGGAGATGTTAAACATACATAATGCAAGAGCTAAATCTTCTATTGCAGGCCTTACTTTGGGTGGGGGGTTAGATGGCCAAATGGTAAGCATGTGCGTGCTGTATCATAAGGCCTGTTATTGAGTCGACTGGCGTGGTTTCGAATCCCGAAAATTCAATTGCAAAAATCTTGGTTCAGGGTGAATCAATTTGACTGAAATTTTCAGCAAATCCCCTTTACATTATCTAGTTTTTAACTATTATAGTGATAACTGCTAGCGCTTTATCTAATCTCAGCCTGTCAGCTGATAATGGAAAATACCAAAATATACAGACATAGATAGAGAAATGGGGTTTAACGCATACTCAACACGAACTATTGAAGGTCATTTCATTCAATAATTTGTGTGCATGTTAGACTGTTGGCATCTCCAATAGTGGGAGGGAACAGGAGGACCAGGAGAAAACCCACGAGTTTGAAGAAAGAGAAAGTTTAACATCCATTCAACACAAACAAGGTCATATTGACACTAACATTAAGGTATAATTTTTATTACAATAATTTGCTTGTGCGTAGGGTTATTTACCAGTAGGAGGAAACTGGAGATCACCACAAGGTTGGACAGGCAACCCTACTCCTTGCTAAGCACAATGTTGGACAGGTGACCCTACTCCTTGCTAAGCACAATGTTGGACAGGTGACCCCCCTACTCCTTGCTACACACAATGTTGAACATGACAAAATGTTTACCTACTTACCTCCCTTTGTAGTTCATCTCGTTCACGGAGAAGATTCTGATGAGCGGCTTCTAGAACATTCAACTGTCTAGTGACATCAAGTTGATCACTTTCAAAATTATCTCTCTGCCTATAATAAAACCAACACATATGTTATCATCTTCTAATCAGGTGCTAAGTGGCCAAAGAGGGTCTGAATCTTCAGGCCATGTTCTAAAGGGGGGTATTTTGTGCCTTCGCATATGTGCGTTAATTGTGTCTAATTGTCAAAATAATAAAAGATGTTATAAAAGAATCTTTCAGCTTTTTTGAAAGCAGAGTCATTCCATTTCAGTAACCTTATTTGGGGCAGTCACTCGACACCAGTATCATTATCTGGGGGAGAGTCACTTGATGCCAGTAGCATTATCTAGGTGAAAGTCACTCAACGCCAGTATCATTATCTGGAGATGAGTCACTCGATGCCAGTAGCATTATCTAGGGGAGAGTCACTCAATGTCAGCGTTATCTGGGGGAGAGTCATTGAATGCCAGTAGCATTATCTAGGGGGAGAGTCACTACATGTCAGTAGCATTATCTTTCTACATGCAACCTCAGTATTACGAGGTGAGTAAAACTAAAATACCCGAAACTTAGAGAAAATGATGGCCTGTACGATAGAGACTAACTGACTAGTAGCTTCTATACTCCAGACTCTAAATGACAACTTACATTTTAACACGGTCATAATTCTCTACTTTATAATTATCTGTTTTAACCAGTGATTTAATCTCCGCTAGTTCCAGGGACATTTTCTGAAATTTGACTCGAAGTTCACCATGTTGTTGTCTCTCTTCTGCTAATTGCTGTAATTAAAATAAACATAAACAAACTTTTACCTAAGCTTACACGTTCGTTATTTATTTACCAAATTGTAAGACGCTGGCTGGCTAGCCTGGAGGTCGCGTGTTCGATCCCTGCATTGGCTGAGAAAGTTCATCAAGATTTTCCGACGTGATTTCCCCTTGTCAGTGGTGCAGGAAAGAGGGCCTGACAAGGACAGCTACATGTATCTAGTTTTTTGGATATACATGTAAGAATAGACCATAATGCCGCTGCCCGGTCAAAATTGACCTCATAGCACACTGTATGACGTATGCCGGTCTTCATTAGTTCAGTTTCAAATCCCAATTCAAATAACCATTACATTTAGTTCAAACATCCATTTTATTTAGTTCAAACATCCACTTTAATTAGTTCGAACAACCACTCACTTTTCTTTCAAACAACTACTCCATTTAGTGATAAGAGGAAGAAGGAATGAATATTACTCTAGAAAAACTGATACACTTAAAACAATTCTAAGAATCATTGTCTATTTTTACCTACATGTACGTAGCAACATTTTCACTTGGATTATCTAGTCTGTTTTAGTCATTTACTCGATAAAGTTGAGAGAGATGGATAAGGGTTTAACTGTGTCATTCCGAGACTAATCAACAGTGCTAGTAATTGTATGTCGCGAGGCCTGGATAAGACATTGTCCGACACAATGCCTCTGGTGTCTGCATTGGCCGAGAAAGTTCATCAAGATTTTCCGGTGTGGTCTCCCTTTGTCAGTGGGGCAGGACAGAGGACCTGACAAGGACATCTGTCTAGTCGCTTGGATGGGACAAAAATCTGAGATCCCATGTATACACTGGCATGCACGTAAAAGATCCCTTGGCAGTTGGAATTCGATATAAGAGTAGACGATGTTGCCACTGCCCGGGCAAAATTTCCCCCACAGCACACTGTATGGTGTATGCCTACTTCATTAGCCCAGTCGGAGAAGAACAGTAGGACCATAAACCCCATTTCATTTAATTTCATGCCTCTGTCACCTGTTAGGACCGTATGTCACATGGTAACTTTGTTATCTTACCTCCTGTAAATCTATTGTTTGTTTAGATGAAGATTTTTCTCCATCGTCCAGCGTTTTATTTCTCATACGTAGCTGATCAATTTCTGTTTGAAGAGGTTTTGTTTGTTCAAATAATTGGACCTAAAAATAAAAATGGATTTAAATCTACGTGTATATAATTATAAATCACTTCAAAATATTATTGCAGTACCAGTTAACAAACAGACGATATCCTCTGTAGGCCATATGCAAGGTTCCAGTAAAAAAGTTACCGGTATTGAAAAGTTTAATCCCAGACATTAGTTTGAATTTACAGTTTAAATAATTGTCCAATAATAATATCAGTTTTAAAAATCTAAGAATTGAGATTCAGTTAGGTTTTAAAAAAGTCTCGAAATTGATCAATATTCATCTAACTAATTTTTCTATTACTGCTTATAATTTATAAACTAGAATGGCTGCTTTACATCAATTAAGAACATGGCAGTGGATATTTTGCCGTCCGACGGTGGCTTGGCTCTTTCAGCTTGTGGGCTATTTTACCGTCTCACATTAACACATAACCTAACCACCAGACCGTTCTATTCGTCCTTTAACATTGCTTCTTTCTCCGTTTCTTATAGTTATAAGGAAGCAAATAGCCATACTTAATTTCTGATGGTAGAAACTGGAGAATTATTGTTAAAAGAAAATAAGATAATAAATATAAATTGCAGAAAAGCATTTAGAATATTATTCTATTTTGGTCGAGGTTTATGTTTTTCCCGTAAAATCGTGCTTCTGGACCGAACTTGAAAGACTAGTTGTTTTTAATGTTCTAAAATGGTGGAATATATCAGGAATCGACAACTGCACATGTCGAACGGAAGTACGGCTAAATAGTAAATAAAGTAAAGAACTGTCGGACGGCAAAATATACACTTCGTAAGAACATATTCCATATCATTCAAAACATGTCCAAACATGTTCAACAGTTCTGAACCTGGGATGGTCACATTAAAACTTTTCACCTAATATAAGCTTTGGCATAATTTAAATAAATGTCATTTATTTTGTTGTTTTTTGATCTCATACAATAATATATTTAGCCCTAGACTTACAGCAACATAGTCTCTGAGAGAAAGTTCATCTTCTTTCATGGCTCGTAGTTCATAGAACTTCTCTTCTGATAAATTCAGATCTTTCAGACTTCTCATCACATCCCCTGCTTTTTCTCGCAACCTGTTATTGGCCGATTCTAACTGTTGTTGTCTCTGTCGGACATCTAATAACTCATGTTTTATCATATCCTGACGTTTCTTGGCATCCTCTTCTTGAATTGCCAGCTGAGATTCCAGTCTCGCTTGTAAAATTTGTTTTTGATGCAATGTATCGTTCAATTTCTCTTCCAATTCATCTACTCGTTGTATACTTTCCGCTTTCATATTTTCAATGGCAAGATTTTTTTGTGATAATTCTATTCTGAGTAATTGTAAATCATGAATTAATTGTTTTCTTTCGATTAAATGTTTCGTGATTTGACGTTTATTCTGTTTACTTTCGCTCGGTTCGGGCGACATGGTAAAATCAGTTGGAACAGACGTCTCTAAGCTAAAGTCTTCCGACTCAAACTCTTCAAACGTTTTCGATAAATCCCTGGCTGCCATTTTCAAACACGTCAGATATTTCTATACATATGAAATTGTGAATTCTTTCAATAAACAATGACTCAACTTTTACAACTCATCGTTATTTTCAAAATGCTATGGAAGCCACATCCGGGTACTCTTGGAATTTATTTAGAGTTACTTCCCTTGAATATTTTTTTCACGGATTGACTACGTATATCTGGATCGACGGGTCTTCACCAGGTCCGGTTTTTGGCACATTTGACCATTTTCCCCAAATGGGCCCCGCACTAGAAAGGGACGCAGAAGCTCACCAACATAAAAAATTTCCGGGCAATTCTGACAGCAGGACTGCCAGTTGTGGCTATTTTTACATGCTGTAACATCGGGCCTCATAGGTCAGCTCTGAACGTAAGCCCCATTACACTCGGCCTGTACGTTCAGGAACTCTCCCATTGAATCCTGAGTTTCGAAACTGATCGAGATCCGCCCAGTTAATCGTACTGGTTAACTTTTTACTGCTAAACGGTCGCGTGTCAGTCCCTGTGAACGCCCGAATAATATAAATACGTACGTATAATTTCACACACCGTCTTCTTTATATTATATATTATCAATGGCATACGTATTCAACAAGGACGTTACTCAAATACCCGGTTGTACGTGACAAGGAGTAGGGTCGCCTGTCCAACCTCGTGGGTTTTCTCCGGGACCTCCGGTTTCCCTCCCACTGCTAAAGACCCCTACGCGCAAGCGAATAATTGAAATAAAATTAAACCAATGTTAGTCCCGAAATGACCTAGTTTGTGGACGTTAAACCCCATTTCTCTCTCTCTCTCTCTCTGTTACTCAAATATCTATTTTATTTTTACACATGTGGCGGCGTTAAGGAGCATAAACGGTCTGACTATTCATTTTATTCGTGCAAATCAGTGAGGTGTTACATAGAAATAGAAGATGTAAATACAACAGTCTAAACGCTAGGTTCCCACTATCACGATTCGCGCCATGAAAACGCGTTTGCGGCCATCAAATTTTCCACATTTTCTTTTGGGGGTGGGGTGGGGGTAAGGTCCTACTATACGGCAAGCTCCGCGGAATTGTTTCGGGCATTTCAGGTTCTGCCCCCCTAACATTCATCGAACCTGTACGCCTATGCATGTGGTGTGGGATGGCAAACAGCCATGTTACGGGCCATTCTCCAATGTTGTACAAAATGATTTCCAGATAAACACAAACGATCGAAAAAAAAAATAAAAGAATATTTAAATTATGTGTTCAAATGTTATTTGTCAAAACTTTATGATTTTATTTGTTTGTAACAGAATATGAAAGAAAAACAAAGGTCAGACGGGACCCTGCTTTTGGCGGGTGTCTAGGCTTCAGCGTTTAGGATAATATGCCGGTCGGGAAAATAATTATACAACTGGCGGTAGTTTTCCCTTTGATGTGCATGGAAGTTATATCTCATGCCAACCTGTCATGACGTCATCATAATTTGGTTCATATCAACCGCTGATGACATCATGACAGGTTGATATTTCTTTCATATCAACTAGTCATGACGTCATCTCAGGTTGATACGAACCGGCTCATATCAAACGCTGATAACGTTGATGATCGGAATCATACAAAGCACACAGAAATCAATTTTTATTCTTTTTACAATTAAAATTTTTATGGTACAGTTTGTAGCATTCAGCACCGAAATAGACGGCGTACTTTATCGGCATATTTAGATCAATTCTCCATGTCTATTATATCTTTCAGAATTTTCTTTTCGTCCACATTTCGATTATTTCTGCACATACTCCAAGACTTATAGCCCCCTAGTTTGTTTGTAAAGTATTTTTAGGCACAGCCCATTTAACATACGGGCATATGGAAAACCCTCAAGGGTCACTGTCAGAATTATCGGAAAAGATTGTCCTGAAGGCTCGGGTAGGTTAATATCCTATACTTGTAACGGAGAAAATCTGTGGTGGAAAATCGTGATGAGGAAGTCTAAAGTAGGCTATATAGAAAGTCGAGTCAAAAGTTGACAGCAGAAATTCTGTCAATAAAAATATAATTCTGACGATTTAAAGTTAAATTGTTTAGGACGATTTAATATATATATTATATATATTGTCTTCGGGAGTGTTTGATTGAAGCTAATCCGGTCGAATCTGAATCCGGTTTAATTTATTCTCATTTGATTTCAGGTCTGATTGAAAACCCAGTTCCGGATTCTTCACTATTTGAATGTAACCCTGCAACTTCAAATTTGTTGAGTTTTTATTAGTAGCTCGTACCGTGGGAAATGAAATGAAATGGGGTTTAACGTCCTACTGTTCTGCTCCTATACTGGGCTAATGAAGACGGGCATACGCCATACAGTGTGCTATGAGGGAAATTTTGCCCGGGCAGCGGCACTATCGCCTACTCTTATATCGAATTCCAACTGCATTCCAATGTTTACACGGGACCTCGGTTTTTCGTCTCATCCGAAGGACTAGACAGCCGTCCTTGTCAGGCCCTCCGTCCTGCATCACTGACAAGGGGAAACCACGTCGGAAAATCGGGATGAACTTTCTCGGCCAATGCAGGAATCGAACACCCGACCTCCAGGCTAGCGAGCCAGCGCCTTACCCACCCAGCCACCGTGGCTCCCTCATACCGCGGGATGTTTTAAAGTAGACCTAATGTATCATTCCCAATTCTCTCCACGTCTTAAATGACAAATCACGTTTCATTGACGAAGCACGGTTTCCGAAACGTACGGAACTATCGATGGAACTAATGATAGCTAATTCTCGGTAGGTAGCGCGACTCTTGCAGGGCCGTAACTAGCCCAGAGCAACAAGGGGGGGGGGGGGGAGTGTGCTCAGGGGTGCTGTTGGCGGACAATGTACATGTATATTTATTTTTTTATGGTCGAAAATTTTTTCACGGGGGGGGGGGGGCAAACTTTTTGCTGTCAGGCATTTTTATGCAAAATACTAAACTGTTGAAACATAAAGCGAAAGTGAAACGGCATCATGAGACTGGAAGTCAAACGGTGATCCTAATGATTACTGATGGCGCATCTTTCAATTTCCTCAAATAATCTTCTCAGATTCTCACGGTACATACAATTTTATTAAAGCACGGATTTCTGATTTTCAATGCATAGTTTTTCAGATGTTCAACGCATGGCTTTTTCATAAGACCCGTATAAATTAACCCCACACCCCTGTACTCTAAAATTACAGACAAGATGATATTTAATTATCCAATATTGTATTTATTTTAAAATTTATTCAGTCTTCACCATAATTTACAAATAAAACAACGACCATTAAAGGGACATACTGTCGTCGTTTTCTTTCTTCATTCTAGTTTAATTAGAAAGCCCATTCAAGAAAACTCAAACTAAAATATTTTAGGGTTTCCGGACTTCTACTGATTGCGTGTTGAAACCTGATCCATGAATTTCAAAGATCAGCAAATGAACAGATAGTAACCATAAAATATTATAGTTAAAGGTTTCCTTAATAAGGGTGCTGGTTCTTCCTAATTTCTAATACTGTTTTTTATAATTTACATGAACCAAAGCGCTTCATTAGTTGCTGAGGACAATATTTGAATCACCATGGATATCAGGCTTCAGTCGCCTTGATCATAACATGCTGGATATCCTGTGACGTCGACTAACTTATTGACCGAATCCCGCTGGAAATGTTTTACCGTTGATTCCAACACCAGTTGGATCCAGTAACACGAACATGAACAGGATTCTGTAAAAAAACACACCTAAGTTAATAGTTTATATAACATTTCAGGCCTAAAGAAAGACCCGCAATAGGTAGGTTTAGCTCTTGCATAATGTACATGTTAACTGATTTTTAAAAACAACTGGTTTTTAAAGGTAAAATGTATGTTTAACTAATTTTTAGAAACAACTGTTTTTTTAAAGGTAAAATTTTATAGTCGATGCAGATGCTAAACATATTTCATTAGTTGTTTATGGTAAATAGAAAACGATATGAAATGGGGGTTTAACGTCCTACTGTTCTGCTCCGAACTCGGCTAATGAAGACGGGCATATGCCATACAGTGTGCTATGAGGAAACTGTTGCCCGAACAGCGGCACTACGACGAACAGCGGCACTACGGCAAACTCTTATTTCGAATTCTAGCTGTGTCAAGGGTTCTTTTACATGCAAGTTAATGTGAAAACGGAACCTCGGCTTTTTGTCTCATCCGAACGACGATACATTATCTCTAGCCCGCATTGCTACCAGGGCTCCGATCTCGAGAAGGCTGAGTTCATATGGGACTAACAAGAAGCCCGCCGCGTGTTTAAGTCGGTTGTTAGAGAAAATGCGGTTGGATTTGAAGGGGATAAATAAACCCAGGTTATTCCCCCTACTGTACATCGTTCCATCCACCTATTTTATACGTACCGTTCAGCTGGTATCCTCGATGATTTTCATCACAACGGGGGTAATTTCAGCATTTTTTATCTGGGTTTAATGCACTGAGACTCTCTATAACAACTTGAACAAATGGAATGGGTTTACCGCCAGTAAACATCAACTGATCGGGTACCATTCGGACTTTCACGCACAGAAATAAAATAAAACTTGGGTTTAATGTCCTACTGTTCTGCTCCTACTGGGTTAATGAAGACGGGCATACTCCATGCAGTGTGATGCGAGGGGAAATTTTGCCCGGACAGCGGCACCGAAAACCTACTCTTATTTTGAATTCCAACTGTCAGAGTTTTTTTTTATTTTACTTGCATGCCAATGTGTACATGGGTCCCCGGCTTTTAGTCCCATCCGAACGACTAGACATTGTTTCTTGTCAGGACCTCCGTCCTGCACCACTGAAGTACTGAACATAAACGGTAAAGGTCTGTCTCTATAACTGTCTTTCTAATCGATCCCGGTGTTGCACGAGACCGTTCCCGTGTCAGTGGTACAGGACGGAGGGCCTGACAATCACAGTAGTGTCTAGAGTCGTTCGGATGGGACTCAAAACCCAGGTTCAGTGTACATATTGACTTGTACGTAAAATATCTGTTGAAAGTTTGAAATTCCCTCACATCACTGTATGGCGTATGTCCATCTTTATTACCCCCCACGGCTCCCTACCTACTGTTCAATGGCCGACATGTAT